TTTTCTCTCTTTTATTTCGTTTCGTTTGCTTAAGTGTTTTCTAGATGTTGTTGTTGTTGTTGTTGTTGTTGTAATTGTCTTTGTTATTTTTCCTTTTCAATGCTGCTTTCGTTCAAGTGTCAGCCTGTGTATTTGTTTAGTCTTGCTCGACAAGCTTTTATTTGTTTTAATTCTTTTTTATTTATTTTTTATACTCAGCTGCCATAAGTCAAAACCTTATCGAAAATCGGGAATTTATATGGATACACATATATGTGTTTATAATGAGCGCAACACGTTCTCAGCAGCACGTTTTACACTTGTGTTTGCCTAAGAAGTTAGCTCGATTCATTCCATTAGACTTTACTTTGAATTGACGAGAGTTTCGGCTTCTTAGAGGCAAAACTTGTTTTCGGCTATACACTTTTTCTTTTCTTCAGCAACGAGTCGCAGTAACGTCTGATCCTATTCTAATTTAATTTTAAATTTATAATTATTGTTGTTTTGGCTACATTCCCATATGTACAAATAATATAATAGTTCTTAAGTAAAATTACATTTTAGAGAACGATGTTGCCCTTTTAAGACTGGCTTTTCTTCTGTTAGGAAATTATTTTCGTGGCAATTCTCGATAGGAGGTTGTTGGTTCGAATCCCAGACAAATGCATGGAAAGGTGTTAGAGCTATTTAAAAATTTTAGGCTGTCAGTTTATAACTCTGTTCTAAAATCTGTTAATAATATAAATAAAAACATTTTAAGATCTGCATTCTAAAATGTAAATTCAATTTTCTTCTATAAATATATATATTTTTAAATTTTTGAAAGCCTACAAGCTGGAATTCTTTAATTTGGAATACTTAAGAACAGTTTGTCTATACTCTCTCTCTCTCTCTCCCTCTTTCTCTCTCCCTCTATCTCCCTCCATCTCCCTCACCATCTCTCTGCAGCTTGATGGATTATCTAGCAACTGGGAAGCGGGCTGCATTCAAGCATGCCCATATGAATTTCCCACAAGTGCGATTTAGTATTCCGTTTGCTAATTTACATTGAATTCTGCATGAAGAAAATGTACTTATATATGTTTTGCTCGAGTCTTTCAATTGCATAATTTGCATGCACGTGTAAAAGTAAGCACGACAACAAGATGCAATAAAAATAGAAAAATAAAACTAGCCCATTTTCCGCATAAATCCCATCGAATCTAATGATAATCGTGTGTAATTTAGTATAGTATCTGCAATTAATCTTGCGCTGCTGCTGCTGCAATTAGTCATTAATTAAAAACAGAACCAAGTGCAACAAAATGCCAAAGGCGTGGAATTTTGCACTGGCTTGTTCAGTGGCAGAGTCGGGTAAAAAGTTCATGAATATGACGTAGCTGTTTAAAGTTCTGTAACGGCAGCCATTAGTCATATATATGTATATTTATATATATAGAGGGTTTGATTATAAATGCATTTGTATATTAGCTAATGGGCGAAACCTGTCACGTGCCCAACTCTTTATAATTCATCTATCTTATACCAAATGCGGTACTTTTTGTGTCCAGTATTTGCTAAGCGACTACTCTCCACAATTGTTGAGCGATTCATGAAGAGATCATGTTTTCCTCCAGTTACTGACCCCTGAAATAGGCGCAAAACACGTTTTTTTTATTTCTATTTTATATTTCATATTTATTTTTCTCTCTGATCTCGTATATCTCTCGCTCGCGCGCTCTCTCTATTTCTGTGCAAAAACCTTTTCTTTAATTCATTTTATGCATAATTCATTGGGCTTTGCGCCTCATTGCGCAGCGTCATGTGTAAATCGCGCGACGCTCGCGCCAATAGTAAATATATAAAAATTATATATTTGTATATTCCCCCGAACTCTGTAATTTCCCACAAACAGCGCTCCAATAATTAACTGGAAGATTTCATAGCTACTGACACTGACTAGACATAGACATCGACAATTGCAGATTAGGAAATAGCTAAATGAATAATTATAATTGCGATAAACCACAAAATTTATCACTTTTTAATAAACGTATTGCAGCAAATCGTGAAATTCTATTTATACGATATAACGATATTAATGACATTATACAATTATTTTACCAGGATCATTATCAGTTCTGTTTAAAGGGAGTTTTCCAAAAAAACATTTTAAAATCTGGTCACACTTTAAATATTTCCTGGAATACTTAAACTACTATTTTGAAGGATCATTTTTATTTTTTATATTAATATTGAATTTTTAAATGCACCAATTAAAAACCTTATTCAATTTTAAGTAAAAAAAAATGGTCACACTTATTTTTGGAACTCCTTTGGACACTCACCTATTTATTGTTATATTTGTATTTGGTATCACTGATATCCAGTCAGGATCAGTTTTCTATTCTTGGTATCATATTTCTTTCTATTCGCTAAAGCACTTTGAACACAGTGTTGGGGGCTTTCTTCGAAATATCCTTTATATCTATGTATTGTTCACTTTCTTAAGATCCTCGTCCGTTCGCAGCGAGCATAAAACGGATACTGATCTCAATAGCGTTTCGCTGGTTTTCTTCACACTTCACTTAAAGTGCCAAAAACTCAAGCTCCAGTAGTTTCTACACACGCACACACACGCACGAGCACAATGTCGCCAACTGGCAGCCAAAGAAATATATATATGATAATAACTGTATATACATATATATTGAGCAAATATTTATGTTAATAAACAGCGAATTATAAGAACTGCGAAAACAGCGCGCTTATTTGCTTTTAGAATTTAGCGCTTGTTGCGAAATGAAAACCGTTTTTGAAACTGAACTCAACTCGCGGACTGAGGTCGCGCGCCAAGCAAAAAAAAACAAAACGGGGAAAAAAACAGACCTAGCCAATCGGCAATCAACGATCGACGCCGATTAGCGATGGACGATTGCACGAGCGGTTAACCGATGACGCAGTCGTCGATAACAAAGCGACGGCTTCTGGTCACACGCAAGAACAAGAAGAAGCAGCACGGCAAACGGGTAACGAGCGTGGAAATTTTTGTTTATTGCACGCAGCGCATGTTCCATCAATTTGCACATTTTCGCGGGAATTTGCTTAGTTACAATTAGTTTAACTAATCTACTTTATTGATTGACTTTAGCATATTATCCGGTTCGGGTCAGTTTGCTTCTTCTTCTTCCTCTTCTTCTTTGTCATTTATTAGGCTTTCCTTTTGTTTGCGCGCAAAAAAACAATCATATGATGCCTTTGATTAACATTTAATAACTAATTTACGAATTAAGTTAAACTCGTTTTTGGCCAAAAAAGTGTCACGTTTATTTTGCACGAGCGCCTGACGGTCAGCATTTGTGACGTTCGTCTTTAAATCGTGTGTAAACAGCTCCTTAAACTTGGCAAATAACATGACTTAACCAAAATAGGCAAATATCGTTTATATTCAAATAAAATCAAGCAGATTTGCATCTCGAAAAATCGCAAATAAAAGACTAAAGATATTCTTTTGAATTCCTGAGTTAAATTTAAGAAACTTTCTTATAGCTGCTATGGATAGTAGATCATGCTTTGCTCAACTTTTGTAGGTTATGTAGATCTTTAGGGGATTTTTTTTTGTCCGATTTCAATTTGTTTTTATGCATATCTCACATTTTTGGTTAGCGTTTGACCGTGACTTTAATTTGGCCAGTTATTCAGAGCAACTATTAGCACAGCATTTAAATAATCTTTTTTAATGTATGTTAAACTTAACTTTTCTAGGTTATGTAGAAATTGTGTTTCTACACGAACAGTGTTTAATTAAAACAAATATATTATTTGATGTTTTATTTAATTACGTTTACGTAATTTAAGCACAGCTTCACATAGCAACATATTTAAGGATAATTCAACATTGCTTTTCTTACGTTTTATAGGTTATGTAGAGAACAATAATATCAAATAATCTTTATGCTTATAATAAACTTAACTCTTGTAGGCTTTGTAGAAATTGTTTCTACACGAACATATGTTTGATCTTTTATATAATTACGTTTATGTAATTTAGGCACAAATTTAAGCAACACATTTAACGATAATTCAACAATGCTTTCCTTACGTTTTATAGGTTATGTAGAGCCAGTTCGCCCAATAATTCGGTTCCTTTTAAAATGAATAACATATCTGATGTTTGTATTCGTTTTGATTATACTTCGAATACAGATACAGCTATCAAATTTATGCTAATTACTTGTGACGATTATTTTGCCAACTGGTAAATAAAGGCGACAGTTGGAGCGTTGGGAATTGCGAATTGGATGGATCTATGGGTCTATGGGTGGGGGGAAGTTGATATTATGCGTTTAGCCTTGTTATTGAACTCGCTGCCAACTGATTTTTACCTGTTGCCAGCGATATTTTTCGCAGCTGGCAACTAAGTGAGACCTATTAAATGCGACACAATAGCAGCAAAATCAACAAAACAGGTGACAAAAAATTTTGGCGAAAAAAAAGAAGTTTGCTTTCATATGCATACAAATACTTTTTTATTTGCCACTGTTGCTAATTAAATTAATTTGTTTTGTGTTTATTTACTTTTGAAATTTACCATATTTACGCTATTTGCATGTGCATTTCGCATATCATTATGTATGTATGTCAGCCTAAATGAATATGAATATGAATCCCGGTTCGAGCAATAATAATTATGATACATAAATTATAATATAAATTATATCAATTCGAATAACTCAATTTATGTTACGCTAATTATGGCGAAGTTTTCCCATATTATCTGGCTGTAAAATGCAAATTAAACACCTCGAAACGTTTTGGACACGCCTCTTAATTGGCAGCAAAACGGAAAATAGAGGAGAATAGAGAAAATAGAGAATATGGCTTGAACCAGCGACCCGTTCGATTTCTGGTTCCTGGTTTCGCTTTGAACCATATTCAATTATTCAATGAATATAAATAGTATTTTGAAAAGGGCAAGAAATTCTTTCTTAGCGTTAAAATTGTTCGTTTTACTGCTAATAATGTAAATAGTTGAAGGTGCATAGTTTTTGTAAACAAATTAATTTGGTTCGCATTTTAGTTCGATTCTAAACCAGCTTTGCGGCTTGCTATTAACTTTTGACTTTGATAAATTTGGCAGTCGGTTTTACCGTGGACTGGTCACAGCCATTGGAGCTGCCTGGCTGGGCGCCGGGATGCGGTAGGGGCAATTGTAGCATAAACATCCTTTCGGCGATCTTGTCAAGCTTCCTGTTGATCCCTGAAAGTATTTTCAATGTTAGGCCAATTCGAGCACTGACACGCGCACCAACTTCTATAGTTCGGATTCCGCATGAAGGTGCTCTGCCTGTATGGGATCTTTAGCCTGTATGACTGCTTTTTTTTCGTTAATTTCCCAGGACCAGGTCTAACGGCACCTCCATCTTCATTTAAATCCAGCCTGTTTTCATTAGGTATGAAAGCATCCGGTTCAATGGCCATCGTTTCTGGACTTGGCGCCCCACTCCTTTTGTATTCATCCCGATCCATGTCGCGTTTTTGTTTGATGGGCATCTTGCCTTGCTCGGGAATCTTGCAAAGGACCTGGGCGTGCAACGTGGGCGCACATATTAAGATAAATAAAAGAACGGACATCAGCGTTCCACTCATGTTAGATATTGCACAAAAAATGAAGAGCTTTCCTAGTTTTGGATATAGCATTTATGTGTGTCGCTTTAGCTTTGGTTTGATTTAATTAATTTTAAGCGAAGCATGCTTAACAAATAGCAGGCTCTAGTCGGGAGTGCCCGACTAGGGCATACCCTGAACCCTCTTCTATCAACACAGATAATTAATATATATATATATACTAGCGGATATAACCCGGCCTTGCCCGTGGCACGTATGTTATAAAATCAAAAAAGCTTTGAAAATGATTTTAAAACTGATCGGACGGGAATCAAACAACTTTTATGCAAATCGGACAAAACTTAAAATTCACCAAAAAAAAACTTTGAAATGCATTTTCCACCGAAAGAGTTAAGATTTTGCGAAAAATGTGAAACACGTCTCAAATGATTTTTCTTATAGATCTTTGAAAATAAATTTGAACACAAAACGTCACCCACCAAATCTTTGACCTCCATTTCCGCCAAGGAGGATGCGTTGATCACCAATCAGTCAGTCAGTCAGTCAGGACAAACAGTTTTATATATAGAGATATATATATACTATTCAAGAAGCTATGTTAAATTGGTTGACCCTAGCTCTTAAAACCTATGAGATTATCTCAAAAAACAGCATTTGGATATCGATTTTAATCGATTGCTTGGAAATTTATCGATTATCGAGCTGTGCAAGCTCGTACAGACTCTGAGATCTGATACGGACCGACAGACGATCAAAAATATATACATATTTTTTGCTTCTGCCTTTTACATGCATTTTTTACAAACACAATTCAATCCTTTTTTTACATTTTCATGGGTATAAAAATGTCACTTAAAACTTCCTTTTGCGTTTTTGCAGCAATAAAGTAAAACTATCTAGTTGCTGTTATAATTCCAAAATGTTTTGCATGCTAATACTTACATTTAAGCGAGTAAACTGTTCAAATTTAGCAACACGGGTTAATTTTTTTTTGTTAAACTTGCAGGAAGTTCGAATTTGTAACAGTCGGCTATATCAATTAGCTTTTTGACATGCACTCGCACACAAGCATTTATTGCAACGCCTTCAGTTATCGACAAGCCGCCACATTCTAGGCATTGTTGTGGTATCATTGTGGATATTGAGTGCGGTCACATTTAAGTTATTCGCGTCTAATTTGCCTAAAAAATTGTGAAGTTTTCTGAAATTTGTTAAATAAATTAAATAGAGTGGACAATCAGAAATGCCGCCCACTATAAACAATTCGGCAGTCAATAGCGCCGCCGAGAAGCGGCCGCAACGGCAAACGGAACGCAAGTAAGTATCATATATTAAATGAAGCATCATCCACGAGGAACTAACCTGCGTTTGCATGCAATACCCAGATCCGAGATAATTTGCCGCGTCAAATATGGCAATAATCTGCCGGATATACCCTTCGATCTGAAGTTCCTGCAGTATCCCTTCGATGGCAATCGTTTTGTGCAGTATAATCCCACGTCGCTCGAGCGCAATTTTAAATACGATGTGCTGACTGAACATGATTTGGGCGTCACAGTGGATCTGATTAATCGGGAGCTGTACCAGGCGGATCCCATGTCACAATTGGATCCGGCCGATGAAAAACTGCTCGAGGAGGAGACGCTGACGCCCACAGATTCAGTGCGCTCGCGCCAGCATTCGCGCACCGTGTCCTGGTTGCGCAAATCCGAATATATATCCACGGAGCAAACACGCTTTCAGCCGCAGAATCTGGAGAATATCGAAGCCAAGGTGGGCTACAATGTTAAGAAGTCGCTGCGCGAGGAGACGCTCTATCTGGATCGCGATGCACAAATCAAGGCAATCGAGAAGACGTTCAGCGACACCAAGAACGATATTACCAAGCACTACTCAAAGCCAAATGTGGTTCCCGTGGAGGTGTTGCCAATATTCCCCGACTTTACCAATTGGAAATATCCGTGTGCGCAGGTCATATTCGATAGCGATCCGGCGCCACAGGGAAAAAATGTGCCCGCACAGCTGGAGGAGATGTCGCAGGCCATGATTCGTGGTGTGATGGACGAGAGTGGTGAACAGTTTGTTGCCTACTTTCTGCCCACGGAGCCAACGCTGGAGAAGCGTCGCATCGATTTTGTGGCCGGTGAGCTTTACAAAGACGACGAGGAGTATGAATATAAGATTGCGCGCGAATACAATTGGAATGTCAAGACAAAAGCATCCAAGGGCTACGAGGAGAACTACTTCTTTGTCATGCGGCAAGATGGCATATACTACAACGAGCTGGAGACCCGTGTGCGGCTCAACAAGCGACGTGTCAAGGTCGGACAGCAGCCCAACAACACGAAATTGGTGCGTATTAAACAAATATTTCCCTCAATTATTAGCTAATCCTATTGAGATTGTGCCCTGCAGGTGGTTAAGCATCGACCGCTGGACGCCATGGAGCATCGCATGCAACGCTATCGTGAGCGCCAGCTGGAGGTGCCCGGCGAAGAGGAGGAGGAGGAAGAAGATGATGAAATGGAAGCAGTTGTTCAGCAAACACAGCCAGCATCTGAGCTGGAGCCGCAAGCAACAGCGGACAATTCAGATAACTCAAAAACACCACTTGATGTTAATGTTGCCGCTGCTGCTGCTGCTGCTGCTGCTGTTGGGTCCACGCCTGCACCGGATGTACAGCAGCAACGTGAGCGACAGTCACGGTCAAGAACCCACTCCGGAGGCACACGTTCACGCACGCGCAGCCGCAGCGTTGGCAGTGGCAGTGCAGCCAGCGGTTCGCGCAGTCGCAGCCGTTCCAGCTCAGCCAGCGGCTCGGGCTCACGTGCCAGCAGCCGTTCCAAGTCGGGCACACGCTCACCCAGCGGCTCACGTTCACGCTCCCAGACGCCAGCCGGCTCCCACAAGTCGCGCAGTCACACGCCCTCAAAATCTATATCAAAGTCACGCAGTCGCAGTCGCAGTGCTTCCGGCTCGCGTTCTGGCTCCGGCTCACGCTCGCCCAGCCGTTCGCGGAGCGGCACGCCCAGCGGCTCTGGCTCCAGCTCTGGCAGTGGCACCGAGGAGGAGTAAAACGAAACATAAATAGAAACTTTTGCAACCTGTAATATTAAGAGCAATACACAAACAATTTTACACAGAAGACAAACAAACAGAGAATTGGAACTTCCTCAACTACGTTGCGTCCATTAGGAAATGGCGAAAGAGCTCACCATCCGAGCTGGTGGGCTGTTCCGCCTGCTGCGGCGAGTAGAGGCGCAAATTCTGCAGCTGCTGCAGCGGAGAGCTGCTGCCATCAAAGTGCACGCTGCTGTCCATGATCACCGGCTGTGGCTGCTGTGGCGGCTCCACGCTGCAAATGCCCAGCTTTTGGCAGCTCTCGACCACAATGTCATCAATGGTTTGTGAGAGCAACGCCTCCTGATCCCCTCCATTCATCTGAATGGCCGCATTAATTGCCACATTCTCTGTCTGCACATGGCCCACTGTCACATTGGAGGACTCCAGCAGCGCCTTGATTAGCTGCTCTGGTGTCTGTGGCTCGTCCTCCGCATTGACAGCGCATTTATGTGTGCGCAACGAGACCTTGTAGCGAAATGTCTTCTGGCAGTGCTCACATTTGTAGGGCATGACGCCAGTATGAATGCGTGTGTGTACCAGAAAGGAGACGCGTTGCCGAAAACATTTACCTGTGCGTGTAGAGACATTTTTGGGTGAGCCAGAGAATTCATTAATTATCAGATACCCTATAACTAATTCTTAAATGACTCCGACTTTTGGGACCGTTCTTAATTGTTAATTGCAAAAGTTGCAAGGCACTTTATCTGCATTGTAAGTGCTGCTACTGGGCAACAGCGCACTGAAAACCATTTCAATCAACCTTGTTAAGACGTGCCGAATAAACAGCATTTATCCTCATGGCAGCTGCCATGAACTTTGCAATGAACCTGAGAAAACGCGACTAACTACAAGTTCTGTGCGTCTGTTTTCTTGCTCTTTGATCAAAATATCGGACTACCAGATTAAATAAGTTAAAATTAGGCGCTGTACCCAAACAAATGGGTATGTATCAGTTACAAGGAGATACTTCCGATATATATATATATAGAGTATATATGTATATATATACATTGAGTCTATTTGGATAGAAACAGACGTTTCCTTTGCCAACTAGTTTGCCCTGGCCTGGGGAAACGGTGGCCAAACTTTGTAATTTCTTTGACTGAGCGTCGGACTAACAAGCGGAAAGTTGCCAGTTCAAATTGGGTAGCTATTTTTTTAATTTGTTGGTGAAGACCGCAATTTATGACCCAGGCGAGTTCGGGTAATTTGTTTTAGTACGTACCGCACACCTCACACTTGAAGGGCTTCTCGCCGCTGTGGATACGCTGGTGATTGTGCAGTGTGGACAGCTCCTTGAAGGCACGTCCGCAGATGCTGCAGCCGTGTGGCTTCACCTCGCTGTGGTAGAGTAAATGCTTGTGATAGGACTGCTGGAAGGTGAAGGTGCGGGCGCAGTACTGGCAGGTGTACGGCATTTCGCCCGTGTGCAGACGTTTGTGCTTCTTCAGGAAATACTTGGTGGTGAACATTTTGGTGCACACATCGCACTCCCAGTTCTTGGGCGTGCTGCCGTACTCCGAGCCCGGCGCCGCATCTGTCGCAGCTCCCGGCAGCTCCTGCTTGAGCATGCAAATGGCCCCGCTCAATGCGTACGGTTGGCTGTTGCTGCACCCAGTGGAGGAGGCGACGCTGCTGGCGGACGCCTCCTTGTGCCGAATGCGATCGCAAATGCTAATTTTGGGCGTGGCATTGAGGCTGTTACTTGTATTGTTCTGGCTGCTGTTGCAGCTGTTGCCGTTTCCGTTGCCGTTGCTGCTGCTGCTGCTTCCGAGCGTTGCTCCCACCGTGTGCAGGACCTTGAGATGCACACGCAGCGAGCCCTTCATGCGGAACGTCTTCGAGCACAGATGACACTTGTAGGGCTCCTGCTGTGGCTGCTGTGGCTGCTGCTCCGTCAGCTCCGCATTCTCGTGCACCAACCGGATGTGAATGTCGCGCAGCTCTTCGTTGCGAAAATTAAACTCGCATATGTCGCATCTCGCTGGCGGCGGGACGGGCTCTGGCAGCGGCGGCGGCACAACTGGCGGCGGCTGCTCCAAGGGCTTGGCACGCGATTTCTTGCCACGTCGCTTGGGCACCGCGGCAACAGTCGAAGACGTTGGCGGCGGCGGCGAACTGGCTGCAGCGGGGCAAGGCTTGGTTGGAGGCAGAAGGGGAGCAGCAGGTTCTGCAGCTGGCGGAGCTGCTGCACCTGTTTCGGGCTGGTCCATCAGGCTGGTGTGGCTGAACAGATGTATGGTCAGCTTGTCCAAGCCCAGGAACAGCTCCTTGCAGTGCGGAAAGGGGCAGGCCAAAGGTCCATTCGCCGCCTTGATCAGACGTTGCTGCAATGCATCGATGCTATTGAAACTGGGCACCGCGCACAGCGGACACAGCACCGACATGGAGCACATTTTACAAAGTACAAACTACTGCGAGGAACTTTCCAATACGCGAACAATCCTCAAGCATTGCTGACCGACAAAAACTTGAAAAGATTGTTGTTTTTTTTTTTCCTATTCAGAAATCTTCTAAAAATACCTGCAACGAAAATATTGAAAAATTTTGCCTGCCGACCGCGACGACGTTCGTCTGGGCGATATCGAAAATAATGAAAATTATTGCGCTCCCAGGCCGGCGAGAATTGAAAGAAAAATCGGAATTTCGAAAAAGTACGAACTGTGCCGAAAAGTAGCCCGTAGACAGCTGTCTGCTGCTGCTGCTTCTTCTTCATCTTCCTCTCGCTTTTTGGGGCACCAAAACCCGCCGCCCAGCTAGTGGGCGTATGTAGTATAGCAGATCGCTTGGCTCTTTGTTTTGATCTTGCTATGTAAATGGATCGGAATGGGGCAGCTGCTAGGCCCAAAATGTGACATATTCTATAGATATATTTGGAAATAAATGGGCGACAGCTAAAAGCTTTAAAGGGTATTCTTGGTAATATTTTAGAAAATGGCAGAAAAGTTTAAGAGACAGCCAAAGATCTTACTTCCATATGGAAAATATTATCCACATTTCAGTTTTTCAAATAATAGTCGACTTCAGGGATTTGGATTTGCCGAAATTGGTTAAAAAAGAAAATGGTTACATTATTTTAAAAACGATTTTCATATATTTTCGTATATTAAATTTACATTTAACCCTTTTTCACCCATTTTTCACTCTTCGAGATGGAATTTCGAACATATTTTATAGATATATTTGGAAATAAATGGGCTACAGCTAAAAGCTTTAAAGGGTACTCTTGGTATAAATAATATATCAGAAAATGTTTGAAAAGCTTAAGAGACAGCTAAAGATCTTTTTCTATATGGCAAGTATTATGCGCCTTATCAAATATTATCCGACTTCAGGGATTTGGGTGTTCCGAGATCTGTTAAAAAAAAAGGAATGCCTACATTCTTTTAAAAGGGTTTTGATAACTTTCCTATATTTCGAAAGTGCTCCAATAAATTTTCATTTACCCGTTTCTCACCCATTTTTCACTTTGCGGATGGAATTCCAAAATCAATCGATTCAGTCGGGAAAGGTTTACTAAAAAAAATGCCAGAAAATAATATATTATTTGCTGCTTGCTTAACATTTAATGATCGAATTAGTTGGGTTAACCTAGTTGATATAGTGTATTAATCAGTTTGTGATCTGGGCGCCCAGGCTTTTAGGTTTGATAAAGAAGGTAGAGTATTTGCGTAGCTAGCAGCTGGTTTGTGCATATAGTTCAGTCAAGGGTATGCGCTGGCTGTGCACTCTCCAACGCTATTTATAATCAAGTATACCTACATACTATATATATATATGTATATATAAATATGTGTGTATATATTATATTGCATATCTGCTGCTCTCTTGTTTCTTGTTGATATCTGGTCAGCGCTTTGTTGTGCGCTATTTTTATGGTTCTTGTTGTTTTCTTTCTTGCTGCGCGATTTATTCGTGTTTCTGTTTAGTTGTCCGATTTGTAAACAGTTCATTGGCCAAGCACGTGAGAGCGAAACAAACAGAAGGAAAAGTTGTGGAAAATTATTTCTTCTTTTCGGGCGGAAAGTCCAGGGAGACGACGCTAATGCGAGCCGAGCTGGCCTCCTCTTTGCCCAGGCTCACCTCCGAGGTGGAGGAGCGTGCGCTGTAACCTATATTTGGGAGGTACATATTAGATAACTCTCTCTCTCTCTCTCTCTCTCTTACTCTCTCTATCACTCTCGACCCACCTTTGACTGAGTAGCAATCCAGCGAGGAGTACGAGGTTGTCCTGGAGGACACGCAGCTGCGTGCGGGCTTCAAATGCTGCGGCAGCTTCAGTCCTTTGCTCAGCATATAGTTTATTATCTGAGCTCCGTCGACGTCGCTGTTGGCCATATCTGACAATAGGTTTAGGGCCTTTCTGTTGCGATTCTCTAGCTCCTGCAGATTGAGATCGCGTTCGAACAGCGAGAGGTATTCGGCGCTAATGGACTTCTGTTTGATTTCCTTCAGTAGCAAATGAATATCGCGATTGGCTCGTTCGATTTTCGATTTTTGGTCCTGCAGCTCTTTGTTTAGTCGTTCCAGTGCGTCCGCATCTTCTGAGCATTTTTGCTTTTCCATTTCGATTTGCTTAATCAGCTCCTCCAGCGACCGTTTCTGATTCTCGATTTTATTATCGAACGACTCCGCCTTGCAGCGCAGCACCTTCAGCTTCTCCAGATCGTTGCAGTAGATCTCCTGCACTTTCTTTAGCTCCTCCTCGGCACGCTGTTCATCTAGGGGAAGAAAAAATCGATAAACTTATGACTGACTGATTGACTGATTGATGATTGAAACTGCAAGAACTAGGCAACTACATTTTCTATGGCTGTCCTTTGTGATGTAAAGCCCGAATAAGACTGAGTTTCGGAAACGATTTTATGCAACTCTTTTGTGTATATTTTTAAAAATCTTTGCATTGCTTACGTATTTTATGAAATGGAAAATATGAGACTATGATAATATAATGAAAAGTTGCAAAATGGGCGGATAACCTTCTTATTCATTTCTAATAAAGTCTTCAATACTTGTCCACATCCACGTTAACGCGCGGAACATAGGCGGAAAACTTATTATACCCTTGTAGAGGGCATTATAATTTTGTCTCGAAATGTGTAACGCATGGAAGGAGACATCTCCGAACCTATAAAGTATATATATTCTTGAGATCATGGCCGTCTGTCTGTTTCTATGCGAACTAGTCTCTCGGCTTTAAAGCTAGCTTTATGAAACTTTGCAGAAGTTCTTCTTTGTGTTGCACTGGAAAATTATTAAACATGTTTATGCAGAATCCTATCAACATCGGACGTCTATATCATATAGCTGCCATAGGAACGATCGGTCGAAAATGAGGTTCTTGTGTGAAAAACTTTTTGTTTTACAAGATATCTTAACCATACTCGGCATTAACTATGTTATGAAAAGGTTCGGCCTGCAAGGGTATTAAATTCTCGACGTGTCAAAGATAATCTTTTTTTTTCGTTGAATGGAAGTTTTGGTTATTCTTCTGACTCATATCTAAGGTCTGTTAAAAGAAGAAGACCTGTTTTAAGATGAAAAAATGCCTGTTTCATCGAAAACCGAAAACGGAAGTGCTGATATGAAATGGAATGGCAAATCCTTTGTCAGGGCAAAGCCGAAGAAGACATACTTATTGGAGTACTCACCCTTTGAGTTGTCCTCGTAGGTTTTTAGGTTCTGGCGATAGTTGTCGTTTGATTTATCAAACTGACGCAGTGTATTCTCTAAAGCGATGACCTCCTTCTCAGCCTTGAGCACCTTCTTGTTAAGAGAATCACCCTCGTCGGCGAGCAGCTGTCGCTCCTGGGCATTCTCGACCTTCAGCTGGGTGGCCGTGATCACGGTGCCGTCCTCGTTGACGCCCAGCAGGGCAGATGTCAGCTCGTAGCGGGCGCGCATGGCGGTAATATGTTTCTTGCGCTCGCCGAGATCGGCGCGCAGGGTGCTCAGCTCCTCGTTGAGATGTTTGCGCTTGAGCAGCAGGACATCCTGCTGGCTTTTTAGCTCCACAAAGCGATCCTTGATGATGCGCTGGAAGGCCAGTCGATGCTGATTCAGACTGTAGGTGCCCTTCTCGCAATTGTCGATCACATTCTGGAGATCACAACAGCGCATCTTGAGCAGACTCAGCTCCACGACAAACTCGGAGTTGTCGTAGCGATTCATGCGCAGCCGCTTGATGGTGCCCTCGCAATAGACCTGCGCCTCCTTGATCTTGAACTTGACCAGCTCCAGATCCTTGGCATCGCTGTTGTAGACAATCACCAGAGCGTTCATGCTATAGTTGAGCTTCTTGTTCTGCGCCTCCGTCGAGCTCAAACGACGATGCAGCTTGGCCAGATACTGTTCCTGTTCGGCGAGCACCAGCTGATTGCGCGCCTCCGTCTCGGGGTCCGCGTTCTTGCCAAGCAAATCGGCCATACGACGCTCGCTCTGCAGATACTTAAAGGACATTTCGTAGTATATTTCCGTCTGGCGTTTGAGCTCCAGCCCCACCTGCCGCTGATTGCGATTGACGGCCAGCAGCGTGGAATGCAGCGCCGCACTCTGCACTATGAAGGTCTTCTGCTCATCCTTCAGGTCGCTGATCTGGCGCTGGGCGCGATAAAGCAGCTCATTGCAGCGCTGCTGCTCTTTGTTTAGCAGAATGAGCGCCTCCTCTTCGCCCTTCATCATCTCGTCCAGTATTTGGAGGCGCTGATTGGCATCGATATGCTTGTTCTCGATCGACTTGAGGCGATCCTCCACCTGCTTCAGCGTCTGGTCAAAGTTCTCAATCTCCGTGTTCTTGTCGTCGCGTTGCTTGAGCAGCTTGCGATTTTCCAGTCGCTGCGAATGCACCATATTGGACAGATTCTCTAGCTCGTGACGCAGGGCCTGAATCTCGCGCTCCTTGAGCAGCGAGGCATCTATTAGGCGCTGTATTTCATTTTTCGCCTCCGAGGTCTCCGTATTCAGCATTTCGATGCCCTGCTCTACCATTCGATTGTTCTCCAGGACATCGTTCAGCTGCTCGTTCGCAATGCGATAGCCGGTGGCCATCGCCTCCGCCTGCTCCATGAGCTGGGCGCACTCCGTCTCACTGTTCTGTATCTCCAATTCGCGCTGTGTCATTTGATTGACCGCCTGCTTCCAGGTCTCCACCATCTGGCGGCGCTCCAGATGCGCCTCCCTATACAGGCAGGCGGTGCGCTCCAGATTCTTCTCCAATGTGTTCTGCTCATCGTACAGCATGATAATCAGCTTGCGCCGCTTGTCAATGTCCTCCTGCAGCAGCTGGCGGCGCGCGTTCAGCTCCCGTGCCCGCTGCTGATCGTCCTGGTAGTAGCGATCGATCAGCTGGTAGCCCTTGTTGCCATCCTCCATGGCCTCGGCCCAGTCGACCAGGCTCGTTTTGGCCGTCTTGATGCGCTTCGTCAGATCATCAATTTCGCGCTTGTTCTTCGTGATTTTACCTGCAATTCAATTTACAATATGAAGCAGCAAGAGCGACTAGATCAGCCGAGTCACCGGGAAGAACAATAGGTTGACCATCTACTGGGTGCCGGGTCGTGCGGGAATGGAGCCAGTTAACCTATATGTGCAGTCAAAGACATTCTGTGGGATCGGACCATGCCTAACCATAATATTTGTCTAGAGCCGTGAGGCATAGTAGGGAGCTAGACAGCAACAACTGATAAATAACCTCCTTAGATCCTTCTCATTAACCGACTATCCTACGGAGCCATGCAGAGCATGCTAGCATCTAGACAAGCAAATGAATGTGGAAAGTGTACACTGCAGACTCTGCCTCGAGCTCGGCGAGACGCCAGAGCACTTTCTACATAGGGGTGAGACTTAACTTAAAGGGGTACAGACTCGGATAGGGAATTAAGGATCCTAGACCAGGGATAATCAGGAAAACTGGACAGAGGCACAATAGACCCGATATCGATCGCATTAAAAGGAACTTCAAATAACAATAATGACTGAGCATCAGCCATTGATTGACTCACGTAGTGTGTGCTCCGCGTATTCCGTGTACTCCGCCAGTTCCTTTTGATTTTGGCGCTTATCCTCCTTCAGCTTGTTGCGCTCCAATATAACCAGCTGCGTGCGATGCGCCTCCTTCAGCACATCGTTCTTCACCGAGTTGAAGAAGGTCTGTAGTCGAGATTAACTTTGCATTATTGTACAGAAGCCAACTCCTCCCTGTCTCACTCACAATATTCTGCTGAAGCGTGGCCTCAATATTCCGCTTGTGCCGCTCGATCGCCTTGTTGCGCTCATCCAGGGCCAAGATTCGCTGCTGCAGATTGAATTTCTCTGCGCGCATGCTGACCATCTGCTGGAGTATGGCCAGATTCTCTGCATTGGCCATGGGTATGTCTGCCTCCACGGTCCAGCCCATGGAGCGCATCGCCTCCAGCTTGAACTCGTCGAGCGAGCTGCTCTTCATGTCGTCCGTTTTATTCTCGCCGTCGTTGCCCATTCTGGTATATGAAGTATATCAAGCTGTATATACTGTATATAGATTTGTACTATATCCAGCTCTGATTTTATAAATTTGAAGTTCACATTCGACAAACAAACCAACCTGATTCCCAATGGCAACCGGCTTGTTCAGTTTATCTGCTGTCCCGAGCAACGCCCGTTGTTTGCGCTCGCCAAGGGGCATTTCCCAAGCCATGGGAGAGTCGCTTTGATTATAATATCTAACAAAAGTAATTCAGTTGTGTGTACCACACTAGCAGATACCCTGTAACCTACCAATAGGAGTAATCATTCCCAATTAACTTTTTTACATATATGTATATATGCTGAAAGATTCAGTTCAAATCAAGCTTTTTCAGATCTTCAATCTATATATATATTCTTTTAACATATTTGGGAGACAGGACACAGCAAACGAGGGATCGCTGGTTCAAACCCAGCAAAGATGTTTTGTAGTTGTTTTGAAGTTTATTATCGGATCGCATGGGTTTTTTGTTATAAACCAAAGTCCTCGGCAAACTTGCATAGACCAGGATAGTTGACATTCATGCCCGTACCACACTGGCAGATACCCTGTAAGCTACTTATATTCATAGAAATACGAAATATTATTCTCAAATAACTTTTTAAAGATTAAATTAAAATCAAGAATTTAAAGATCATAAAGTTGTATATATATTATTTTTTTTTATATATTTGGGAGATTGGAGATGTCTGAGCGTCGGACTAGCAAACGAGTGATCGCTGTTTCAAACCCAGCAACAATTGTCAAATGATATTTTTAAGTTGCTTTTTATGAATAATCTTGTTTATTATCGGATCGCATGGATTATTTGTTATATATCAAAGTCCTCGGCAAACTTGCATAGACCAGGATAATTGACATTCATGCCCGTTTGGCAACCTGCGCCCACTGGGCCACTCACGTAGACCGGCTGGCCAGCGACATTGTCCACGGCATAGTTGCAGGCGAGTAGGAACTGGTTGAGGCCGTTCTTGAAGAAGCGGGCGGCAGCACACCCCAAGGCAATATTCCGCTGCTGCGCCATCAGAGTAAAGCGTTCAATGGAACTGTGAAAGAGAAGAGCGGGTTTGGCTGAAGGAGTTTCTATTGGGGCTGACTGCACCTGGTACTCACTCTCCACTCCAGTTGCTGGGATAACTATCGATGACTGCCATGTCGGCATTGTCCCGCTCCTGCCACCAGTTGGTGACGGCCTGCGTCAGCAGATACTGATCCGTTCGAGAGCTCGCCTCACCCTCATAGCCGAAGAGGGCTATATTCTGGCCGCTGTTGCGGAATCGGTCCGTATTGTGGCAGGCATCCCGCTGGCGCACACACTGCTTCACATTCAGCTCCGCCAGGCTGGCCAACTCGTCGTTCCAGCGCATAAGCGCCATTCTCCGCGCCGAAATATAGCCAGCCAGCTCTCCCAGTGCCAGGCGATTGCGTCGAGCATTGTGGGTCGCCACCATGAATTCGCGCAGATCCTGGCTCATGTTGATGATGTAGGGCGCGGGACTGGTTGGGCAGCTCGAAGACCAGGCCTGAAAAAGACAAAGAGTCAAAGAGAAGGTCTTAGTAGACTCCCAATACTTCCCCTGCAGCTGCACTTACTCCACTATTCTGGCAAGCGATGTGCGTGCTCCCGCTGCTGCACAGACCCTGCTGACAGTAGTTGGTCTGGCCGAGGGCCAAGGTCAACATCAGGCTAAGCACAAACAGTCGCAGCATGTTGAAAAGAACTAACTTATCCAAGATCCAAGGTCTAGGGCTTATATAGTCCCAACATGTATTTGAGTTCAATAAAAACTTATTGAACTTTGATAGTCAAACTGTAATTAGATAAAGCGTGGGAACAGCTGTGTTTGTTTGCCGGGATATTCCACACATCTGTAACATATCTAAGTTAGAGTAAACATCTTTGTATTTACTTAAATTCTATATAGTATTTTATCATCTCAAATCTTAAATACATATGTAGAATCATAAAGCATATCAATGGGTAACTTGAAATGGCGCATATTGTGGTTATGTTAACTACGTTTGCCCGAAATCGATAATTATCGATTTTCAGATACGGGCAATAGAATAGCTATAAAAGCTTTAGCCAGCAAACTTAATATGCAGCAGATAAATTTGATTTTGTATTATCAGTACTTCCCGTCATCTCTCTTAAAATCGATAAATATCGATTGGCAGTTGCGGTTTTATTTGAGTAAGCCATTTTCCGCGCACGTTCTCCTGTACCAAGCGCCAATAAAATCGATTATTTATTATTCACAATTGCCAGGCTCTGGCTTAAGATCGATTAATATTGATTTCAAAATCCGATTAATCGAATAATTTATTCAATAAAGATAATCAGCTCCGATGTTATTAGCACATATCGGATTTTTTAGGTAGGTTGCAACTAATTAAGCTGGACTATAGGGTATCTTTCAGTCGGTCAGCTGATACTAAACATTATTGTTACTAACTCAGATCTTACATAAAGTCCCAAAAAATATTAATTTTTGCTAGTTGTTGTTTTTGAGGGCCCATCTGTCAATTGTTTAAACAATTTGACAAAGCAAATAATAAAAAGAGAAATCTATAAACATTTTAATTGTAAAATATTTTCGGGTTTCTTTCTTTTTGTTTTATATGCTTGCTTTTGTTAACTTTTGGGTATTAATTATAATTGTAAATCATTAAAATGTGGCACATTTGTTAACTTGTCTAACCTTTTCTTCACCTTCTTTGCAGCGGTCGCCCGTGGACCTGCAGCTGACCATCGGATCGCAAGGCTTATAAAAGCTTACGTAAGAGCATGGAGGCTTTTGATGAAGTTGGACGAGAATTGCTCTGAATCCTACAGGACGAGCACTTTCATACCCAAGCTGCAGATCGAGCTAAAGGACACATCCACACGGGGATTCGCCCAGTCTGTTCTTGAATGTGCGGAACAATAATAATCGCATTCTGCGTAAATAACTGCTTCAAGGTTATTTACCCTCAAATTAAACATGTTCTATTAGCCTTTCAGTGGGGCGTCTTCTTCTTCTCTGCTCTCTTCAACGCACCATCGTCCTGGAGACAGTGGCATCTGAATATCTGACCAATCAGCAGCTTAAGCACGTTCCTATCGACAAGTCTTAGTCCAATAAGAACCGTAGGATAAGGACAGTAGCTCTAAGTTTTCTATTTATTTGATTAATTATTTATGTTAGTGCGAAAAAAACAAAGTATTAAACAATATCCCTACACACTGTGTGGCTTAAACAACTGCGTTTCCTCATCTGCTCTCACTCCCCGTCTCTCCTTGGGGGATAAGGGTATTAAGAAAAGGAGTTGGAGCTATTTTTCGGAAAAGAACTTGTCTGATCCATTGATTACCCTTTTTTTACTTTAATGCCAATCGATGGAGTTAATCATTGCAAGTATAAAACAGGAAGTCCTGTCAAAATCCGCAATGATTTAGCTGAGTTACGACTGTTTTTCTAAAAAGGATATTAATATAGCAGATAGTCCTTGTTCTGCCAATTCAAAATGTGCAATAATAAGGACGAAATGACCAATTTATAAGAACATTTGTCTGTACACAAATAAGGCTATAACGTGGCCATAGCCTTACGGATGCTGAAAAGTTCTGTGTCAAACCACTTTTACGGACCAGGGCTATCAACTGTCTTAAGGACATCAAAATCGTCCTTGTAGTTTCCGAGATATGGCTATTTTTATAAACAGGACATTCTTTAATGGCCATATCTCGGACATATCCTTAAGGATCTTGGAAGAATATACCTTTTAGAGCTCGTAGAACTTAGGACTATCGACTGGCATTCAAGGATTTCCAGGGTGCGATAAAAAATTTTCCTTCCATATCGGCAAGGGGGTTAGTCAGAAAATCGAAAATTTCAGGACTAACTTCGCCATTTGAAGGACTATCGGGATGCCATTTTGCTAGTTAATAGTCCTCATCCTCCAGGCTCAACTGCATCGATCTGCATTAAAAAATTATGGGGTCATCTAAGAATCTAGCACTTGTCAAATTTTCGTCGCGGGCCGCAAGGAAATTGGCTTAAAAACACAAAATTGACGATATCCCCTAAACTAACGGGACGATTTGGATGTCCTTTGGGCAGTTGGTAGCCCTGGCCCATAGAAATTAATTGACACATAAATCGCCAGGATACGCAAGGATACGGCCGAATTATAAGAACTTTTGTGTTTAGAAAAAATCCCTATATCTCAGCTATTTGAAGGACTTTCGTCCTTTGGATTGCTAATTCGTTATCTGGAGGATGAGGACTTTTAACTGGCAAAAGGACATCCCGATAGTCCTTCAAATGGCGAAGTTAGTCCTGAAATTTTCGATTTTCTGACTAACCCCCTTGCTGATATGGAAGGAAAATTTTTTATCGCACCCTGGAAATCCTTGAATGCCAGTCGATAGTCCTAAGTTCTACGAGCTCTTAAAGGTGTGTCCTTCCGAGGTCCTTAAGGATATGGCCGAGATATGGCTATATTAAAAAATTTCCTGTTTAAAAAAATTACCATATCTAGAAAACCACAAGGACGATTTTTATGTCCTTTAAACAGTTGATAGGGAGGATCAGTAAAAGTTGTTTGACACAGGACTTGTAAGGATCGGCAAGGACACGGCCGCGTTATTTTTTAACAGACAAATGTCCTTATAACTTAGCTCCTTGAAGGATTTTCATCCTCATTTTTGCATATTCTGGATTGGCGGGACAAGGACTATTTGTTGGTGAAAGGACATCATGATTGATCTTGAAATGGCCAAGTTATGAACGATTTCTAGTTAATATCCTTTTTTGGAAAATTACCATAACGCGGCCGTATCCTTGCGAGTCCTGTGTCAAAAATCTCGTACGAACCAGCGCTTTCAGTTGGTCAGTTACCAAAGGACCTTGGAATCGTTCTTGTAGATTCCGAGCTATAAAGGATTTTATTTTCTGGAGTTTTGTCCTTAGAGAAATGAAAGGATATGGCCGTTGACATATACATTTTAGTAAAAACCCAAGAAACTATAAGATCTACATATAAGCATTTTGTCTTATATTTTGTTTTTATTTCACGTTTTATTTGCTTGTTTTTGTTGATTTCATTGATAAAGAGCAATTGTTGTTGCTGTAACTATTTTGTAATTTTTATATGATAATTTAATGCTAGCTTTTTGTTTTGATAACTTGACGCGGTATCCTTAATATTTGTATAATTATTATAATTGTAAATCATTATTATTATTATGATCAGTACTGCAAAAGTTGATAAATCGCTTAATATGCTCAGTTATATATATGTGTGTGTGCATATCGACTATATATTGATATATATATATATATATATCTTTATTTCTCGATTTTGTAAGTCGATTTATTTATCTTGTTTAAACAAACTCAAGAATCGTATATGCGTGTGCTTTTAAATACAATACAATTACAATTACAGTTATTCAATAGATATTTGATTTATTTATAAGTATGATTATATAGATATTGTTTATATAATGTGAACTAAACGCTAGCGAACTCCCAGTTCTTCCTGGTCTTTCCTTTCCAATCAATTGCTGCTCCTTTTGCCCTTTCTCTCTCCAGCTTTGTTGGCTATTTCATTCAAGTTGACACAGCTTGCAGATGAATTGCTCAAGGGCGGCTTGTTAGATACATAAGTGTATGTTCTTTTAATTTTATAATTATAATTATGCATATTTCTATATATATTTATGTATATATATAAATGTATTATTCATAAATTTAAATTTCAAGGGTGGGCGTTCTTTTTATTATTTATACGTTTATTTTGCTTTGAATTCATTTCATTTCTACATATATTTATAAGTTTTGAGGGGAAATCAAACTAAATTGCCGCATTATCAGATTGCCACAGTAATATATAGCATATATATGTGTATGTATAGCATAAATAAGCGTTTCCATTTGAATGCTTATAGAGAATATACACATAAAATAAAAACATTCGAAGCGCCCGCAACATAACAAAAACTTAATAGCAAAATATGGATTGATTAATTCAAAAATATGAACAAAAGCCAAATCCAAGTATTTGAAACTAAACAAATTTAGGTGGAAAACGATGAAAACTCGATTTTCCATTTTCGTTTTCTTGCAATTTATGCGCTTTACTAATTAATTTATTTAATAGCATTTTAATTGTTGGCCTTTTTTGTTTAGTGTGTGTTTTTGGGTGTGGGTGTGGGTGTGTGTGTGGGTGTGTGTGTGTGTGTGTGCGTGTGTGAATGCAACCACTTATGCAGAGAGGGGGCAAGTGTATGTATGAGTGTGGGTGGGGTTGTGGGTGGTTTTAACAACAGGCTGCACACACGCAAAAGTGAGCCAGTGTCACATTTTTTTGTTTCTTTTTTTTGTTTTTTTGCAAATTTGAGAATATTACAAAATATATATAATATATATATGATATATCGAAATTTGGCCAATTGTAGAGTGTGCGTGTGTGTGTGTATTTGGGTGTGCGTATGTGTGTAAAAGAGAAAGAGAGAAATTGCAGAAGTGCGCAAACATTTGAAGGTCGTTTTTGTTGTTGTTTGGGTCCGGTTGCTGCAGTGTTTTACAGAGATACTATCATCAGATACTACAGATAGATAGTACTATATAGAGTGTAATCGAGTGTGTGTGGGTGTGAGTGTATAACGTTTTGTTTAGTTAATATTTGCTTTTGTTTTTCTTTTTAAGACAGATGGAAGGACATGCTGCCCTCGTTGGCAGCCACTTTCAGCTTCTGTCGCATCACATCACGACTGGAGTAGTCCGGCAACTTGAGATAGTTGACACAGGTCATCACAGATGGTAGATAATCATTGGGATTCTGATTCCCATCCAAGGTCTTGCGCACAATGGTCAGCGGCGGGGTCAGCGACTTGAAGCCGCCAGTTGGCAGGCGAGGCGAGCCTGTCACAAACTGAAGGAACGCTCGCTGCTCATCACGATTGTAAGAGACGAGAATCTCGTAGAGAAATTGTATGGCTTGCGATTCCTGATGGAAGCCATGATCGGTGCGGCAGCTGTCCTGCAGCATTTTGAGATCCCAACGCTGATGCTGTTCGCTGCCAGAGCCGCAAAACACGCACTCCAGCTCCTCCGGATAAAACATGCGCAGGCGTTGTATCGGAAAAATGGAGTCAAAGCCTGCAAAAAGACATGCGAATATAGCAAATAGCTTTTGGGCTATGTATATGCGAGTTTTTATTCATACCCTCGCGCAGCGCTTCGAACTGCTTCTGCACGCCCTCGACGAGGAACCAGTAGGTGACCAGCGAGATGTACTGATGCAAGTTGTGCACGGTTACGGGCGTATCGCGTCCGCCGCGACAGAGCTCAATATTGGCATGTCCGGGCAATACAAAGTCCAAGCCCAAATCGGCAATGGGGCAGCCATCCAAATCCAGTTGCTCCATCTGCACAACAAGAAATATATGTTTGTTTTATTTGACTGTTGCGAGAGAATTTACGGATGCTCACCTTTTCCTTCTTCTCCATGGCATCCAGATTGGCATCCGTTTGGATATCCTCGCGCTGGCGCACCACATCCTGCAGACGCACCAGCGTGGTCTGCACCTCGGGCGCCACGCGCATTAAATCGGACAGTCCAATTGAGAGCTCCTCGCTGACCAGCCAGCGGTAGAAGGGCAGAGAGAATGGCAAATCCAGCTGAAGAAGGGGGCGAGACCGAAGCAAAGTGTATTTTATTATATTTATATATTAAATATTGGAGAGGGGGTTAGGCTCCGGGTAAAGCCGAGTAATAGAATAGATATATAGCCGGATTGGATTTCTTACCATGCGACTGTCCATTACCGCCTTGGCCATAAACTTGCCCAGGAACTTAAACTTGGACTTGGCCTTGGTCATTTGTGGCAGCTTGGAGGATTTGCCAAGCGGCAATGGGAACAGGCCGTGCGCCGTGTGGACATAGCTGATGGTGGATGCAGTCTGTATTGTTGTTGTTGTTGCTGTGACCGTTCCAGCTGCTGTTGTTGTCGTCGTCGTCTGCTGCTCGAGCACTTGGGGGGAGTTGTTGGCGCCACCATCAGTGGCCGCCATATCACTAAACTGCTGTGCGATGATCATGTTTAAAGCGTTATCATTCGAGCTGGAGGAGCTGTGCTCCGCCAGCAACTGTTGCTGCTGCTGGTGGCGCAGCGCATTGCTGCGACTGCTGCTGCGGGTCAGATGTGCGTTCGTCGTTGTTTGTGAGGTGCTGTTGGTGGTGCTGCTAACCACTGTGGTCAGCACAGCCGTCTCGCTGTTGGGCTCCAGTGCATCCTCGATGTGCAGCACAGCGCTGCTGGACTTGACCACATCCGCAATATTGGATGAGTTATGGCGATAGCTGTCACTGCCATTCCACAGGCCCAGATCGGTGCGCTGCAGCTCGGCAGAGACCAGAGCATAGAACTCCAGCGTGGGTCCCAGGCCAGTGCCCACCTGAACGAATAAAGAGACATTTAATATAGACGCTTCTATGACCAAGCTCCACCCCCAACTCACCTCATTCTCGTACTGGATCTCCAGCAGCGCCTTGGAGTTACCAAAGTCCTGGAGTATGTGCTCGGCCTGCTTGAGTAGCTCGGCGCGTGAAATGGCCCGTTTGCGCCTGTCCAGACGCGGCGCCACACGCTCCGACGACTCCGCCGAGTTCAGATCCGGCGTGGTGTCCAGCAGTCGCTGCAGTGCACGATCCCGATCAAAGCTGGTGGCGTAGAACAGTAAATGGCGCGTCTCGAAGGGGAACAGGAATGGGCAGGCCATGCCAATCTGTGGCAGCCATTGGGGCAGATTGCCCGTCATGATGACCAACGGATCCTGCAGCTGACGATTCGCCTTAGCCGTGATCTTCGGATGCACAAACTCGGCATTGGCAATGATATTTTGACGCACCACACAGCCATAAAGATGCTCCCAGTGGCGATTCAGTGCATAGATGACGCGCAGCATGCACAGCGCATCCAGAGAGGCGTCCTGCACGGTGACCACATCCCCGGGCAGGCAGCTGCACAGGAATGGCTTCAGCGGCGACAGCATCGGCGGGGCAATACCCTCGTGCCACAATTCCGTTTTCTTGCGCATGAATTTGCTGCTGGACTTGTGCGACTTCTTGCCGGCGGCGGCAGTAGCACTCGAGCTGGCCGCCGAATGGGATGACGTGGAGTTGGAGCCCGAACCGGCGGCGCTGGACGTGCCATGGTTAGCGCCGCTGCTGCTGCTGTGGGCCAGCTGCTTGTGGGCCTGACTGCCGCTGCTGCTGCTGCAAGAGCTGTTGGCACCAGAGCCGGCGGCGAGCAACTCCTCCTCGACGGGGCGATAGTAGATGGTGTGCTGCTGCACCCAAATGCTGCTGTTGCCTGTGGATTTGGATGAGTATCAGTATTTGTTGCTTTTAATATTTCCTCCCCAGCCACACTCTTACCTAGCAGCATCTCCGACTCGTTGTCCGTCTCGTGCTGCTCGTTGACCAGCGGTGAGAACTGTTTGACCGCCTGGTAGACGGTCATGTTGTAGGGCAAGACATGCTCGCCAATGAGAAACTGCAGCTTGTGCTTGAAGCCCGACTGGGTCATCACCACGGCGGCCACATTATCGTCCATATCCTCCTCGCTGTCATCGTCAGAGTCGGCGCGTATGCCGCCATAGCCGCGCACCACCAAGTATCGTTCGATGGCCTGGACCATGGCCAGGGGGTCGATTTTGACGGTGCCGCCCTTCCATTGACGCAGATTGCTGCACTGTGGATGACGCTGCAGATTGCACTGGAGCAGAAATACGAAAAACAAAATTAGTAAGCGCTTGCGAGATTTGGCTCCAGATTAAACCCAACTTACCTTCAGCTGATGCGTATTGAAGAAACGCAGCGCGCTCTGATTGGTGCGCCCACCGGGTCCGGCCTGGAAGTCGTGCACCTTGACCGGAAACTGTTCCAGCTGCGTGACGCAGCCATTTAGCTTGGCCACAAAGGCGCCAAAGGCGAGCGGCTCAATGGCCGGCAGCTGGCCCACATTCTGGAGCAGCGGCTCCAGCGGCAGCCCGGCAAAGACGTGCATAAAACTGCGCAAACGCGCATCGCGCTCCACCAGACCCGATTCACTGGTCATGTAGTTGAGCATGGCCTTTATCAGACCCGAGTGGTTCACCTCGAAGGGCGAGATATCGCTCTCCAGCAGTATGGTCTTCAGCTCGAGCAGCGCATCCAGGCAGTCGTGATAGCTGCCGTTCAGCTTGAGCAGAATGCTCGACAGACGCTCCAGGACGCTGGTGCTGGCCAGCGATGTGGTTGCCGAGGCAACTGATGATGCGCAGCTGGAGCCACCGGTTCCACCAGTCGCTGCTCCGCCCGCGGCACTGTTGCCGCCCTCGCTTTCGCGTGCCTTGCTGCGCCGCGCCTCCTGCTCCGTGTAGCGTTTGACAAAATCGATGGCCTGTTCGCGCACCCATTGTCGGGCACGCTCCCGATTGGCCGCCGCCATCAGATTGGCATGCGAGATGCTCTTGCTAATGCTGGCCGCCACAGCGGCGGCATTCATGCCTCCGGCACCAGAGCCCGTATAGGTCAGGCCCGAAGCAGAGCCGCAGGCGCCAGCACCAGTCGAGGAGCTGCCGCCGCTGCTGTTGGTGGTGTTGCTGCCATCTTTGGTAAGTCCGTGGTGCGATCCGGTGGATTGCTGCTGATGATGGTGCGCCGCCTGGCGGCCCCAGCGTGCCGGATTAAGCGAGGCCAGAAATGAGGATTTGGTCGAGGAGCTGCTTGTGGTGTTGTTTGTGTTGCCGGCGCTAAAGCGAGACTTTGAATTGCTTGAGCCGGTGCCGGTGCCGGAGCCTGAACCGGAGCCAGAGCCAGAACCAGAGCTGGGCGTGCTGCGGCCACCAGTGTTGCTGCCAAGACCTAGCGAAGAGAGTGAGAGAAATTGAAATGGAGTTCGGAAAAATGTTCATGAGCTGAACACTTACTCGTGGCACGGCTGAGCAGCTCGTGCATAGCAGAGCTGGCCGAGCTGGCGGCAGCAGCTGCTGCGGCATCCTCCTGCCTGGACTTGGCGCGTCCGCTACTCTGGGATTTGCGCTTGGGCGGCGCCTTGCGCTTCAGCATGTCCGTCATTTTATGCTGCAGCGCCGAGGAGGAGCAATTGTTGCTGCTGCTGTTGTTGTTGTTGGCGCTGCTGCTGTTGGCAGCTGCGGCGCTGGTGGAGGCAACGGCCACAGTCATCTGCTGCTGCTGGTAGTTGGTGACACCCGGCGCATTGCTATAGACGATCTGTGTGGGAGGCAACTGTTGCTGCTGCTGTGCTGCATTGTTGGGCAGCAGCTCGAGCGGCGCAGCTGGCTGCTGGAAATTCAGATACTGGCGTGGATCAGCAGCTGCTGTGGCGGCCACAAAGTAGGCAGCGGGTGCAGGCGCCGCAGAGGCGACAGCTCCAGAGGAGCAGGGCGCGGAGCTGCTGTAGTTGTAGCCAGCAGCAGCTCCAGTTGCGTCCAAAGCAGCCGCAACAGTTGCTGTCTGCTGATGCTGATGTCCATGTTGCTGGTGGTGTTGTTGCTTGACCACCGCATTGGCGCTGGCGGTGAGCGCGTTCATGGCATGCGAGAAGCTCTTCACGCTGTACGATTGATGCTTCGAGCTGCTGGGCGTTGCATTGGCGCTGCTGGAGCCACCACCAGTTGTCGCTGAGCCGGCTGAGGCAGCGCTCACATTGTCCATAAAGAAGGGATTCACCTGCAGGCTATTCGCCGAGGCTGGCGCGCTTTGTGACCCACCAGCATTTGCCGTGGGCGTGGCGCTGGTGCTCAGCGGCTTGGGCGAGGGATTGGCGCATATGGGATTGCTGGGATCGGTCAGCTGTGTGAACTGATAGATGACGCCCTCGCGACGAAAATGCGTGCCAAATACATCGGGCAACTGGCGCATCAGAATCTCAGCCATTTGCAGAGCACCGACCACGATGCGCAAATCGTTGCTGCCCAGCATGCCGGCAATATGGCTGGATACCAGCTGATACTTGAGCACCTGGCGCAGCAGCTCCGGCGTCGCATAGTAGACCATGCGCAGCAGGGCGCGCAGACATTTATAGCGCACATTGGGACCCGCCGAGGAGCTGTACACCTCGTACAGTACGTTAAAGATGTGCTTGATGAAATCGGCGGCCAGACCGCGCTCCTCCTTCAGGCAGGCGATCCGAGCGTCTAACGAGGGTCGTCGCTTTACCGCCAGATGCGACGAGTTGTTGTTATTGTTGTTGTTGTTGTTGTTGCTGCTGGCTGTAGCAGCCGCTGCTGCTGTCGATGTGGTTGCCGCTGCTGTTGCACCAGTTGTGCTCAAATCCTGTCCACTTGCAACTGCTGCTGCTGCGGCCGCTGCTGCTGCCGCGGGTGCCACATAATTGGGATTGTGTTTGCGCTGCACGGGTCGTGTGGTGCCCGTGTCCTCGTTGATCTGTTGCATGGCATGAAAGTCGACCGTGTAGGTGCGTCCCAGTGTGCTCAGGCTAATCTCATCCTCGCTGCTCTGGTGCGCTGCCTCAATTAGACGCGAATCAATTGTCGAATAGTTGTGCCAGGCGCCGCGATCGTCGCGCCATTGCCACTGCACCTGGTCCTGGGTATTGAGTGTGGGCCGATCCAGTAGAGCGTCCACGGCAAAGATGCCATCCAGTGGCAGGCGTGGCATTAGCTCGCCAATTAAGCAGGTCAGCTCGAGCAGTTCGAGCGGCGGACGTGTGACCAGATCCACATGATTGGCACTGGCTTCCGCCGGCTCCGCATTTCCGGTGAGCAGATAAAGCAATGTGGAGGCTATATCGTTGCGCAGCAGCGAAATGGCCAGATCCGGGCAGGCGGCGCACATGAGGCTCAGCATGCGCACCACATTGGTGAAGGTGCCCGTATTGAGTATGGCCGGCGTCACCAACAATAGCTGCTGGCAGTTCTTGAGCAGATCGGGGCTGGCGATCTGCTGCAGTCGCTTGCCATCGTGGGGGAAACTCTCGACCAGACGCCAGAAGGCGGTGCAAACGCTGTCCACACACTTCTTGTCCTGCTGCGACAACAGCCGGGCAAGCTGAGGCAGACTCTCCGACACGAAATGAAACTCCTCGGCGTGCATGTTCTGGCAGCAATTGGCCGTGATCGACAAGGCGGCACGTTGGGCCACAATCGAGAAGAAATCCAAATAGGTCAGGCAGGCGCTGATGCCATTTGCCTGCAGAATGGCCTTGTTGTGACGGCGCGAGAGTATCTCCAGTGCGGTCAGACTCTGTTCGGCCACGTCCATGCACTGGATAACCTGTAGTTTCTCCAGAAAGACGGGCACCGCCTCCACGACAGTGCCGGCGGACCGAGGCAGTGCCTCCAGCATGTAGGCCAGGGCGCGGCAGGCATTGTTCATGATATCGAAATTATGCTCCATGCGCAGCAGCTGGATGAGAGCCGGCACCACCTGCTTGACGGGAAAGCCAGCGAGCGTATCCTCGTTACCCATGACCAGCATTTGACACATCTCGATGGCTGCCTGCAGCTGCTGGGATTCATCGTGCGACTGCAGACCCTGCAGCAGCTGATTCGCCTTTGAGGTGCTGCTGTTGCCAATGGTCCGATGCAGGATGTGGGTCATGCGTGGCCCCAATGCCCCAAATAGATGAGGCGGCAGGCCGCGTGCCTCAAGCAGAGCCTGAAGACGTCCCACTTCGCTGTCATCGCTTTCCGAATCCGCTGCCGCTGCAGCAGCAGCAGCAGCAGCTGCGGCCGCAGCATTCACAGCAGCAGCAGCGCCTGTTGTGGCAGCCGCCGCTCCTGTTGCTGTTGTCGATTGTGCAGCAGCAGTAGCGGATGCAGTTGCTGCTGCTGTCGATGATGTTGTTGTGGTTACATTGTTGCTGCTGCCGCTGGCTGAGGCAATGTTGCCGCTGCCGCCGCCGCCAGCGCTGCTGCTGCTGTTGGCGCCCACTGCGCTGCTAACGTTGACGTTGACTGCGGAGTCGCGTGCGGCGCTCAATGCGGCTGCGACAATGCTGAGATTGGCCGAATTAGTGCCTGTGTGCGAGAGAGAGAGAGAGACAAAATATTGCAATTAACATAAATTGTTGCTGTTGCTGCTGCTGTTAAAGAGGAAACTAGTCAAAATGTAAACGTACAGACAAACAAAGTTAGAGTGATAAAGGGAGAGAGAGGGGGAAGTAAATAGAAAACAAAAATTTAACAAACAAAAAATGTTAGAACTAACATAGCGCTATTTATCAATAGTTAACAGTCTTGGCAAAAAAAAAATAAATAAGATCAAATGTTAACAGCAGTCAAATGTTAACAGCAGTCAACTGTTAACCGGAGTCACCCTGTGTGCCGTGTGTGTGAATTGTAAATTAGGAAATCAAATAAAGTGTAATGTATGTATGTGTATTTGTGTGTATGGGTTAGGTGCGCGTGTGCTTGTTGTATTGCTGAGTTTTTACCTGACGTCAGTTGCTGTCCACCTGCATGCGGCGGTCCATTTGGCGCTTGATGTTGTTGCTGTTGTGCCATCAAACTATATGTTAAAGCATCCGAAGCTGCTGAATTGAAATTTTTTTTTTTGTAACAGAGCGCGCGAGCGAGGGAAAGAGAGAGAAATGCAAAGAGTTATTAGAACTGCTTTTTCTTCGTTTCGTTTCGTTTAGTTTTTTTTCTTTTGGCTGGGTGGGTGGTGTGGGAGCAGGGGCAGACACCGCGAGCAAAGCGACGCGCGCGACGGCAGCAGAGTAGTGGATAGGGGACAGGGTGGGGGTCAATGTATGTATGTATATATGATGTACAGATGGAATGGTAAAGCGCAAAAATTAAACTTTCGATTGTGCACAAAACAGTTATCGATGCCCAAACAAAATATAATAAGGATGTTCCGTGTTAATAGAAAAAGAAACAAACATAAAAAGAAAGTTCTGTTATCGATAGTTTTTCTTCTGGGGGCGACTGTTTTGTGCAGTTAAACTAGATTTGCTTGATTGATTGATAACCCAACACCAGTTGATAATTTATGCACCAACACAATCCGAGACACCGTGACCAAGTATATATATACATATATATACACAAACTGTACAAATCGCGGACCACGCCTACACTCTGCCTCAACCTAACCCAAAAGTAGAACGTAAAGTGCTTGCGTGCGTATGTGTGTGGGCTTACAAAAAAAATATATATGTAGAAGGAGATTGAGGGAAAAAAAATTGAGAACTGTTTCAAGCAAATGTGATTGATTGATTGATTTATGATGGTCGCAATCGGCGTCCCGCTTTGCTGGCCGCTCCTCCGCTTTTGCCTCGTTCTCCACACTCCGACTCCGAGCTCTCCTCCGTGTCCGTCCACACGACTTACCACTGCTGTGCGTCGCTTTGGGCTGCTGCTGTTGCTGCTGTGGCGGCTGGCTATGATTGCTGCGGTAGCTGAACAGAAAACCAGGCTGAACAATTGTGGCACGCTGTTGTTGTTGTTGTTGGTGTTGCAGCGCCTGCTGATGCAGTTGCTGATGTTGCTGCTGAAGAGCCGCGTGTTGCTGCTGCTGCTGCTGTTGATGCTGACGCACAGCAACAACCACCGTATTGCCGCCCAATTGCTGATGATGATATTGATAATGGCTTGGCGGCTGTGGCTGTTGTGCAGCAGCAGCCGCGTTGCCGGGCGCAACAACAACAGCTGCTGCCAATTGATGTTGCTGCTGTTGCAGATGATGCTGCTGCTGCTGCTGTGCGGCTGCTGCGGAACTGACACAGGAACCCGTTTTGCTACGTGAACTGCGGCGCAGTGAAGAATGCTGCTGCTGCTGTTGTGCGTAGGCCGCGTGTTGCTGCTGTTGCTGCGCTGCCGTTGGCGGCGGCACAAATGTTGCTGCTGCGTAACGCTGCTGCTGATAGATAATGGGCGGCGGCGGCGCTGTGCGTGGCTGTTGCGTCCCTGTGGAGTTATAGTGATGTGGTTGTGGGTGTTGCTGCTGCAGATTGAGCACAGCGACAGCAGCAGCTGAACTATGATAATAATGCGGCTGCTGTCGTTGCTGTTGCTGCTGATGATGTTGTTGCTGTTGCTGTTGGTGCTGCTGATGATGGTGTTGGTGTTGTGGATGCTGTTGATGATGTTGCTGCTGCTGCTGTGCGGCTGTGAAATATGCTGCCGCTTGAAAATGTTGCGCTGCTGCTGCTGGCGCTGTTGGCGTCACAAAGGAAGACAAATGAGCAGCAGCAAACTGATGGGCGGGCAGCAACTGTTGCGGATGCGGCACTGACTGTTGCTGCTGTGGCGGTGCATAGGGCGTCGCCATATGTGTGGCGGCAACTGCTGCTGCTGCTGCCGCTGTTGGTGGCGCGGCCAGCACGCTATAATCAACAATGCCAACAGCAGCGGCAGCAGAGCTATTGTTGCGTGTGGCACGTGCCGCCCCGTGCCCGTGGCCAGGGGGGGCGGCACGCTGATAGCCGGACGTTGTAGTTGTTGTTATGCCAGTTGCTGTTGCTGCTGCTGCAGCGACTGCGGCTGCTGCTGGAGTTGTTGCCGACGCTGTCGGAGGCGCAGCTGATGATGAATATGTTGCCAGCGTGTTTTTGTTCGCTTTGCTGTTGCTGTTGTTGTTCTGAGTTGTTGTTGTTGTTGTGTGTTTGTTGCCGCTGCTGCTGCTGCGTTTTGAGTATGGCGCACCTTTTGTTGTTGTTGTTGCTTTTGTGTTGTGCGTTTTTGTCGTTGGGCGGCAAGTAAAGAGGGGGGTAGAGTAGTGGGAGACAACAGTTAAACAGCTTTGATTTTTTTTTATAGTTTGTTATTTTTGCTTGCAGCTACTCTACTACGTTAGTTGTTGTTGTTGCTTTTGGGAAATGGTAAAATGCACAGGCATATGGATAAGGGGGAGTGGTTGGTTTGTGCTAGACAAAGGGGCAGGCGGGTTTGGGACGCTCAGTCGCTGACAATGATGATGTTGCTGCTGCTTGCTGATGCTGCTGCTGCTCGTCACTAAACTAATTTATGTTGTTGCTGTAGGCATGTATGTATGTTTGTTTATAAGAACACACACGCACACACCCACACACACACACGCGCAAGCTCAAGACACTGCAGCAACATGTTGCTGTTGCTGCTGCTGCTGCTACAGTTGCTGCTGTTCATAAGGCTGTTGCTGCTGTTTTTGCCCATCGCTTTTCGTTGTTGCTGCACTTTTGTTGTTGCTGCTGCTAATAGTTGTTGTTGTTGTTGTTGTTGTCGTTGTTGTTGTTGTTGTTGGTGCTGCTGCTGCCGCTGCTGCTACTTAAAAAATTCTCTTTCTCTCTCGCTCGCTCTCTCCCTTACGCTCTTCTGCCCATATTCCTGCCCTGCTCTGCGAAGGCGCCTCTGCTTGCGCATATATATGTTAATTATATATGTCTACATGATATATATAATATACAATTTTGTTTGCTTGCACAAAAACAACAACATCATCATCATCATCAACAACACAAGGCATCAGCAATGAAATATGTTTTACATATATATTTCTATATTTATTTGTATATATGTACATATATGTATAGATGTATATACACACAGATATTTATATATACAGTAAAATTGTTAAATATATATATATTCTGGCATTAACAATAATATTATTTAAATTAAACAACAATAGAAAATTTGCAACAACAGCAACGTGCAAAATGAGATATCAAAAATGAAAAAAAAAACTGTTGCATTTTTCAACACTGTTTTGGCACCCCACAGAAAACGGTAATAAATAAATACAAACAAAATGTGTACACACTGGCCACGTACATCACTTAAAAATAATTTGTGATGCATAAATAAGTAATAAGTAATAAAAATAAATTGAATAAAAATACAAATAAAATAAATGTGCAGTTGAAATTAATGGGCGTTTTTTCATCGGAATGCGATATTGAGTAGATGAGTGGAACTGAATATTAACTGACGGTTGAACGGATAGATATATTTACAAATGTTGTTGTATATTAAAATGTAAGCCCTGCTTTCTGACAGATGATAGCACAGCACACAGGGGTTTGCAGGGGGGTGGGTGTGGGTGGTTGGTTATGAGTCGGCAGGCGAAAGTACGCACACCTCAGAGCCTAGATAATTATTATGGCTATAAAATACATTATCGATCAGTCAGCAGAAGTGCTGATATAGTCGTTCCGTATAATATTATTCGATGTAATTAAGTTAGTTTTATTTATTCGAGTTATCTTGTAGAAATTTGACGCATATCCGTCCTTTTGTTGCAGACAGCACACAAGTCGTCATCGACTAGGTCGGAACGCTATTGTGAAGTCTCCATAGCAATAATATATACCCTAAATATCTGCAAGGGTTTTTAAAACTCGGCAAACTGAAGACTTCTTGATTTTATTTTCACAATTCTTTAAATTTTTCGATCTAAGCAGCGCGACGTAAAAGTTGCAACTGGATTTTGCCAAAGTGCGTTGCCATTGCGAAACATTATATACACGTATATGTATATATATATTTTTTTTATCAACAAAACAATTAATTTAATACGTATATATATATGTGTGTATGTAGACTGCATGACGCTGCGCAAAAGGCAGTTGTACAAGAAAATGTTTCAGTTGTTGATAAGAAATTCGCGCACTTGACAAAAAAGCCGAGCACGAAATAATTAATTGTTTTTGTATTTTTTAATTTTATGGTGTGGTAGCACTGGCCCGTCGTATGTTAATTTGGTGAAAAATATGAGAAAAATAAAGCATTCGGGTTTTAATAGAAAGAGAACAATAGAAAAATATAAAACTACACAAATTTGAACTATATACAAAACGGAAAATACAAGCGATTCGTAAAGTCAACCAAAGAGAAAAAAGTTATCTACAGAAACAAAATGTACATAATTTTGGGTAAATATGTTCAAGATATAACACTGGAATTCACCAACAAGATAATATGGTCGGTCTATTTGATACACAACAATAATAAAAAGAAAAAAGAAAAGAAAACAGAAACTTATCACACAATTTATGAAAACAGATGCTCAACTGTATAAACTTCACACTGCCAAATATTTTCTTGCTTTACAAGGTTACTTTGGAAGTTTTATAGCGAGGTGCTATTGCTCGTAATCAATTGTTATCGATATCTACAATTTGTGACGCGTGACTGAAAATCGATAAATCAAATTTGAGGTAAACTAGAAATTAGCCATCAAATGATCAGATCAGTAGGGCAATAAAATTAGGGATAAGTATTCCAATCGGACGAATAATACTAAAAATCAATATACCGTCTATTTACGTATGAACAGAGTATACCTTGAGCCTCTACATTTCTAAGCAATTCTGTTCACTTTAATATAATTTTTTCTATTTTTTCTTGTTGTAAATTCCAGTTTATATATGTACTGACAATTCGGTTAAATTTTCAATATTGAACAATTGAGATAATCAACCGATTTGTACATTTAAACCCTTTGCAAACCTAATTGTTAAACAAATATCAAACTAATATTTTATATTACAAAGATCAGTATATATTCTATGGTGTATATATCTTTTTAAGTAGAGTGACAAAAACTCACCACCAAGTTCACCAATAATATGCTCAGCGAATTCACCCTCTGAGAGATCGTCTTCTTCCTCGTCGAAGTCCTCTTCAAGATCGTCGTCCTCCTCGTCGTCGACGTCCTCCTCTTCGCTGAGTTCGTCCTCTTCGGCAACAATTTGGGCGTCCTCCTCGTACGATGAATCCGCCGAGTTGACTATCTCGTAGAAACCCACCTCCTCCTCTTCGGCTTCCACTTCCTCCTCCTGGTCTTGATCTTCGTCTTCGTCCGGCTCCTGCTCGTCCTCGTCGGCAGAGTTGATGCCGCTGGCGACCTCAAAGTGCGCGTTCGCAGCGTCTACGTTGTTGGACTCCCGCTCAACTTCTGCGGCACCTCCTGTTTGTTGCTGCTGATCCACCAAGCTGCCGTAAGGGTGCTCGTTGTGTTCCTCGTTCGCGTCGTCCTCGCCTCCAATTTTGTCCGCTGTGGCGTCAATCCTGGCGAGCAGCTGTTGCTGATAGTTGCGTAAACTTTTGCGGTACTTTGTGTACTTGTTGTTGCTGTTGCTCTTCTTATCCAGGCGCTTCACAGCGACGTTGTTGTTGCTGCTGGACTCGTGACGAGCTGCGTCTATGGCGGCAGCGGCTGCTATAACCGCCGAGCTGCTGGCCTGCAAGCGCGCGTTGCTTGTCTCCGCGAATTTGCCAATCAAATCTTCCTGCTGTTGTTGCAGTTGTGCTCCAGTCGTTGCCGCGGGCTTGGGGCGCGTGTGGCTCACCTTGCGCGTCTTGCGGTAATAGTTGAGCAGGTTGCCCCCGCTGCTGCTGTTGCCGCCGCCGCTGCTTGTGCTGCGTGCTGCTGCGCGGGCGGCTGCTCCACGCTGTGGCGTCGCCCCAATCACGTGCTGGCAGCTGCTCTCACTATACTGCTTGTTGTTGCTGCAGTTGCTGCTGCTGTTATGGCGCGCTGCGGCCGCGCTGCTGGTGCTGGGCAGCTCTTCGGGCGTGAGTGTTTTGGAGCGTGTGCGCTGGGCCACACAATCGCCGCCAGAGGTCAAACGCGGCGTATTCTGCTGCTGCAGCAGATGGTGCGGCGAGGCTTCGACTGATGCAGTTGCTCCACCTGGCGAGACGACCTCACTGACAACGGATGCAACTGCAACTGCTGCTGCAGCTACTGTTTGTGGCTGTTGCTGCTGCACGCGACGCTTCTTCAGCGGCGAATTGAGCTCTACGTACTGATCTCCACCGGGCGCAGCTGTAAAGGACATGATGATAACGGCGAAGGCTTTAGTTGCGAGTGTGTGCGTATGTTTAATTTTCAGTTTGGGGCTTGAAGTTGGGGGGTGGGTTGATGGGTGGGGGGTGAAAAACTTGCTTATAAATTTGACGATTCGAGAAACCAAAAAAAAAACTTGGCAAAATTGTTTCTAGTCTTTTTTAGTTTAGAATATTTTTGATTTTTTGAAGGGTGTGGCGCTGCTGCTGTTGATGACCTTTTCAATTTTGAGAAACAAAATAGTATGCTGTACCGAGAAGCAATAACATTTCTCTCTCTCTCTCTTTCTCTCGATTCCTACGAATTTGGATTTTCAGCATAGAGACATAAGGGTTTCGACTTTTTAAATGCAAATGAGTTTGCGATAAATCGACAACTAAGTATCGATTGGTAATGCACGACTAACTATCGACTATCGATAAATATGAAATCAAATTACACTGGTCACTCTTAAATATAATAAGCAGTTCGTTTTCTATCGATAAAACAAGTTGAGTGTTGCCAACTGCACTTTCCAAATATAGCCACGATTCAAATAGCCTAATTAGCTTTATGATCGCGAATTGTTAAGCAGGCAAAACTAGAGATGGCCGAGGTTCGAGATAACTATAATATTAAGCATTTATCGAGCCTATCGATATATTAGTTTTTAATCTTTGCCCTCTGCTAAGACTTCTATCGAAAAAAATTGGAATATGAGGTATACTATAACATGACTTGATTAAATCTATCTATGAGCCCATGGACGACTTTTTGACTTAAGCTTTCGACACATTTACTTACATTGGATGTTGTTGCGATGTTGCTGGTGGTTGTTGTTGCTGATGTTGCTGTGGCTGTTGCACTGTTGCTGCTGTTGATGCTGACGCTTGCGACTGCCTGGCGATAAGGACGAATCGTTGGCGTTGTTTGACGAGGTGGTGTTGATGGATGAACGCGAGCTGGTTACGCCCCCAAATGCTGTGGAGCGTCGAGGAACGTCTGCGATAGCTGTGGATTTCTTGCTGTTCTTGCAGTTGCTGCTGCTTGTTGTTGTTGTCGTATTTGTATTTGTATTTGTAGTTGCTTTTGTGAGGCTGCGACCCTTGCTGCGCGAACGACGTGCGGCAGTTACGTTGGGGGCGACGACTACGGTGGATGTGGCAGCAGCAGCAGTTGTTGCCGCTGCTATATTGCGTTTCTTGTTGATGTTATTATTGCTTTTGCTATTATTATTATTATTATAACTATTGTAACGCCTGTGCGTATTGGCTGTGGCTGTATTTATTGCTGTAGCTGTTGCAGTTGTTGTTGTACTACCGTCGTGCTGCCCCTCCGTCAATGCAGAGAGCGTTTGACTTTTAACGGACTCGGCCATAGACGACACTTAACCGCACTGGCATCGAACACACTTAACATGCCAACTTCACGGAGAATTGTTTGCAATTATAATTTGTCTTAAATCTAAAATGTTTTGCTAAATATAAAGTAAACCACACTTTTTTGTTTGTTTTGTTAATCGAGTGCTGCGCCAAGGATAGCAGAACGCCTTGGTACAATTTGATATAGATCAATAATATTATTAGTTGGTTTTCACACACTTTTCAGAGTTTTGAGGACTTTGTTTTGTCGAGTTCTGCTGAGTGCGCGGCATCAACTGTTTATTGCGGGCAGAGCTGAGGAGTTTTGTGCTGTAATTGTAAAAATAATAGAGAGCACACAATTTATTTAGTAAATTTGAAGGAGGCAAGTTTTTTATTATTATTTATTTTTTCTGCTTTGTATTTGCTGTCGTTTACACACTAATAACTTAAAGCAAACGATTACAGTTGTGTTTTGTTGCAATCGATAAATGTTTTATGTAGCCAACTTAACAAAAAAAAAAATAAAAAACAAAGCGCGGCGAATTTAAATTTAAATAGGTAAAAACTTGAACGCTGACTTGATGACCGAATGCATGGATAGCCAAATGAGAATTAACAGAAAAGATCATAGGGGTTGTGTGTGTGTGTGTTTGCGTGTGTGTGTGTGTGTGCAGGCAGGCTTAAACAAGGAACCGGCCGCTGTCACCAAGGGTAGTCAGAGATTTGCTGCCCCTTTCAGACAGGTACTCGCATGTACGCAGAAGTAATGGAACAGGCAGCAAGAATGAAAATTGATAAGCAGCCAGCAGCGAGCAGCACAAAAGAATACACCACCACCAGCAGCGACACACACACACCAATGCAATCACATACTCACTCACTCGCACGGACTGACGCAGTTGAGCATATTTTAACAACATATGTGCGCAGTAAACATACACAAATATGTAAATAAATTAACAGCTGTTCGCAGCAGCAGTCACCAACACGTGCATATGCCCAAGAGAGTTGAGTGAGCGAGCGCGCATACGATTGTGAGCGACTTGTTTTGAGTGAAAACTGTTTACAGCGCACTCACTCACTCGCGCACACACAACCACACAGCTCTCGAGCTTACATAAAGTAACCGCGCACATGCTGCGCTGTTAATCAGCTGTTCTCGGCCGTTTTGTTTATATTTTGGTATTCGTAAGCAGCGCTGCGCTGTTGGCTGACTGCCCCTTCTTCCTATGTATGTGCGAGCGAGCGAGCAGGCAACGAGTTCGGACTCGTTTGTGTGACTTGTCATGCTTGTTTCGCTGCGAGAACGCAATGCACGATCCCGCAAATACATATATATATACACACACACACACACACACACACACGCGCGCATACATACGTATAACAATACAATAAGCACACGCGACGAACAAAAAATAAAAGCAAAACAACCAAAAGGCAATTGTAGCAGCAGCAGCAAAACGTGTTGGCGGCGGCGACGTCAACTGCGCCCTTTGCAAAGCCAGCAGCGACGTCGCGTCGTCGTCTTCGCTACACTATAGAAAATAAATGCGTAGTTCATGCGATGCGTGTGCGCCCTCATATTTAGCCGTTACATTGCCAACAACTCAAATCTGACATGAAACCCAACAAACCCAACAACTGTCAATCACAACCAAAAAAATCAAATTCAGTTCAAGGCCGCTTTAAATGAAACCAGCAACGCAGTCACCGTCGTCATGAAAATTTGTTTGAATTTGGTTTTTTTTTTCTTATCTTTTTTCGCCAGTTTTGTCTATCTTGCAACCACAAGTTTTTCACACCAAAAAACAACAGACATGAAAAAATTTGCGAGGCCGCAAATGGCAGCGCCGTCATGTATGTTTATATGTACATATGTATGTTTGTGTGCGTGCGCTCCGAGCATTTTCCTTGCGTGTGGCAACTCCAACATATGGCATGTGGTTGTTTGTCAATGCTGCTGCTTTATCTATCGGCAGCAATTGAAAAATGTAAAGGGCCTCGAGTTGTATACTGTAATTATGTACAACCTATGTACATATATATAAATACACATACAGTAAAAGCTGTATGAACGGGCAGCTTCTTTAGCGGGTCAAATTAGAACAGTGGCTACTCGCAAAGGCGAGCTTTCACTGTACGTTCGTATATTACAAAGTATATTTAAGCCATGTGCATTGTAATTACCATTTGTCAACCCTGAAGGCAAAAATAATTGATAAAAATTTTGTTCACTTACTATATCGCCTTTTTCATACCCCACCCCCGCCAACAGCTACCCCTTACTTTATCTAGTGCGTATTGTTTGTAACTTATTTGTATATACACACACACACATTGCTGTAAACTCAGTCGAGCATATGATGCCAGTGAATATAACGGACAACTAACAGTGTTGCCCCATCAAGTTTTGTTATTTATTTTTTCATTTTGTATTTCTTGCTGCTTTTCTATTTTCTATTACGAAACTGCTTTTGTGGCCTACGCACAGCTGAGCAGCAGCCGCAGCAGCGCTCGCCGAATGTGCGAGCGAGAGCACAAGCTACGAGAGTGGGGTGTGTGTTAGTGGGTTTGTGTGTGTGCAGAAGCAGCGCTTTCTACAGGGTGGAAGGGGAGACAACACAATAATCAAAGGGCCCGTCGTCACTGTGGCAACTTAACCGTAAAGTAAATTGCATTGGAAATTTTTCGTGTCGCGCTGCGACTGCGACGCAGCTAAAGCCAGGTTGAAACATTACAAGAACGCAATAAAGCACTCGAAATATTTGTACATATGTATTTATATGGCAGCCCTGACAAGCTAAGTGCATGCAACAATTAAGCAGAAACCTTGCCATTGTTATTGTTGCGGTTGCCAAGCAGTGGAAGGTCTGCGGCAAGAGTTGATATTCGAGTAACGCTTACTAAAAGTTTTTATAAGTTCTGTTAAAATATACAGAATAACTTGTTGCAAGGCGTAGTAGCAAACGTCAGAGGTAGTAAATACATACTACATACCTACGTCGATGATGGGCACTTACAAAATGCTATACATTGACAAACGGGCTATATAAGCATTCCCACGTACACACGCACACCCTGTATACTGTTATACACACAAAGATTTCCTCTCTAAATACTACGGACAACGTATAAATTTGCTCCATTTCCATAGAAAAAAAGGTTATAAGGAGTTTTCTTAAAATCTGCACAAATTTTAATTTAATATGTGTGTTCCCTTATTTACTTTTCCTTTAAGTCTGTTTCTGCTTCCTTTGCTGACGACTAACTGTCGATTTCCAGCAAATAAAAAAAATACGAAAAGGGAGCACTGGCAGCGACGCAGACAGCGTCAGCGACGTCAAAGTTGTCGCTTGCCTCGGCCTGTGCATGACAGAGAACGCACGAGGGGCAAACACATGACGACTTTACACTAACACACACACAGCCCCAATCTTTTACACACAAAGGCATACACACTCAAGCGTATATACGTATACGTGTGTACATAACGCAAGAAAGGCGAAGTCGAAAGAATTGCTAGAAATAAACGAATGCATAAACTTTGAATCAACCAAATTTTGCATAGTTTTAAACTGCTACGTAATAAGTTATGAATGTACCTATTTTTTATTATATAAATATGTACTGCACCTTTGCTATACATTATGTACTTGCACACAGTTATATAGAAAAATAACGTTTGCACGAACCATTTTGCAGCTGTGCACGCACTCAAAGCCAACTCACGACTGACGATGGCATCAGCAGCGACAACGTCAATGGCGACCCCGTGTGAACGAAACGAAACTAGTGAGCGAACGAGCGAATGAGCACAAAATGAGTGAGAGTGAGTGCGTCAGGCAAGAATACATTTGAAAGCATACACACACACACAGATAATATACGCTAAATACAATATTCTTTATATAGCGTTATTTATCAAGTTGAATAAATTGCAATATAAAAGACAATTTAATATCAATATCTAATTTAAATAGATGGGACAACTGAACCAGTTCACACCAGGCAACAAAATCACTCAACAGGCCGTTAAGCAGGTCACTCAACCCTTGTCGCTAAATGGCAATGAGGCCAACAAACCGACTCAGCCGCTGAACTAATGTAATTTTTTTTCACTTAATAAAAAACGCGTGTCTAGTACTATAAGAAGTTGGTTTACTTTTAATAAATTAAGATAAAATTGCAAAAGAAATAAAAAAAACCATTTTCTTCACTGCAAACGAAATTTATTTTCACTCAAAATGGCTGCGACTGAGAAGAGAGCGCTCTCTGGTGCTTTGGGGGTTGAATGTGTACTCGTTTCTCGCTGAAATTGTTTCCCTTTACCTGTGACTGCGCCCCTTAGAGTGAAATTTGTATTGACCTGATCAGCTGATCGAGAGAGTATTTGTGTATGTATATGTGTGCGAGCATTATTCTTGGGTTACACAAACAGCTGTTTATTGCAGTTTAACACACACATGCACACACACAATTACCTATAACTTGTGACTAATCTTCTTATAGGGTCTCTGGCTAGTGACCCGCCTACACACACAAACAGACAAGTAGTTTTTTAAAATACGCAATAAAAATAGCAGCCACGTAGGGCACTCACTCAGTCGGACAGGGACTGATACAATGACAGCCACTTATTTATTCAAAGATAGATAACATTTCAATGATTTTTTATATTTTGCAGCCATTGCTAAAATGAGGCAGAAGCGTTACCAAAATGGCTGTTGACCTGTGTTCAATTCGCAGCGAGCGCTATATTGAGCGGCCCACGCAGCGCAGTCGACGTCGCTGCTGGCCTACTTGAAAAGCTACTCACCTGCAAATGCAACAACACGCTTGAAATGCAACTAGCTGGCAATTGCGAGTGAGCAAACAGATGAGGTTGTAAAACCAGTAACAATAAACTATAAATATGCAAGCGAACAACAACACACAGACACATAACAGGCAATGCAACAGCTCAACAGAGCGAGCGCTGCGCTCAGTCAGCGTTGACGTCGCCGTTGCTGCTGCCGCTTCACAAGAAAAAGAGGCCACGGCCTGCGCAGCCAAATTGGGGCGAACAGCACAGAGAGCAAAAATAAAGAAAAAGTAAGATAAAAGAAAACAAACACAAATAAACTTTCGCTTATCGATGATTTGCTGCCCATTTGCATATCGATATATAGCTCACGCGCAAATATTCATATCGATTACAGTTTATTTTCGCTTAATATTAGTTTTATTTTTACCGCTAAATGCAAACAGCTGGCAAAATTGAATGTAGGACCACTTGACTGCGAATATCCAGCTGCAAGCAGATGCAGCGCTCGTTATCGATTCCAATCATGATCTCCTCGTTGGGCAGCTGGAGAGCATTAAAGAAGGCGGATGCCTTTCGTGTGTCCACGGAACAGAACACCTCCAATGCCGCCGACGACGACTGAGGCTGGTTGACCTTGTGCAGCAGCAGGCGACTAAAGCGAGTCGTGATTGTGGCCATTTCAGACTCGGCCACCAGATTCAGTTCGCCTGTGGCGCTGCCATGGAATATGAGACTGGGCGATATGTTCTTTAGCTTGTCTACCAGACTGCGCAGAAGACGCAGCGAGGGCACACCCAGCACAAGCTGTGTGCTCGGCACCTTGGGCAGGACAAACGAGGGCCAATCGCTCGCCGGGACTACGGTGACGGGCACATCGTGCACCACCTCGCGCGGCTCGGCGGAACTGGGCGACACCACAGAGGCAATCACCGAGATGCAGGGAAATTGTATCTGCTTCAATTTCAACTTGCAGCTGTGCACGCTGCTGCTGGTGCCGGAGCGCAGCACGGCCAAAGCGCGACTAAGATGCATCGCAGACATGACCAGCACTATGAAGTCCTCTCCAGGACGTGCTGGCGTCATTTTATATTCCGGAAAATATTCTTTGGAACCTATGCTGACCCACACAAGCGGCGATGAGGTCGAACAATGCTCCTCGTTCACAATGAAATGCATGCGCTCCTGGCCCAATATCATGACGCAATCCTTGGCCAGCTTGGCCAACGTGGCGGCAATAGCCTGGAACTCGCGCATATAGAGCACGTCCAACATCTTGGCACGGAACTTCATGACTGTCAGCGACCAGTTGCTAAGGGACGCGACGTACACGCCGAACGACCAAGAGAACAAAATAAAAAAAAAAAGAAAGAAAGGAAAAATCAAACGCTGGCTGCCAAAAAGAAAACCAAGCAACAACAAGTGGAGGCAAAAGGGTAACAAAACTACACCGCAGCGAAATACCAATATCTAATACTCTATTCGGTATTTAACTACGTAATAATTAAATAAAATTTGTTATTTTAATAATATATCAAGAAACATTTCGATCGATAGGGACGAAGTTTGTATTTCAATTTCCCCTAACTAAAATGAAAAGATCATAAAACGAATATGCCACAAACCTGGCAGCAGAAAAAAAAATACAAATGCAGAACGTGACAGACTTGCAACTCGAGACGTCTCCAGGAATAGGACAGAGCACTTGGCCTGGCACCCGAGTTCAATGTACAAAGGCGCACTTATACACAAATAAATATACACACACACATACACACCTAGCTAAATCAGCCAGGCGATGTGCAGACAAAGCGCAGAGCAAGTTCGAGTTGTGTTTTGGATTTTTGAGGGGGCGAAACAGTGTAGAAAGAGTAAAGCAAATGAAACGCACCAATACCAACGCGCTAACCCTCACACACGAGCTATGCATACAAAGCCGAAGTCAGACACACAACACAACACACACACGTAAACAACAGGATTTTGTTTTTATTCGCTGCACTGAAAAAAAGGAAGGCATCTACACCACCAAAATTTCTGCAGTGGCAGCGTATTAAAAGACGGTAGCAGCTCCTCACTCTCGAAAACGGAAATCAAATTATGTATATGCCGCCTGAAAGCGGCGGCGGTGGCCAGGCAATTGACTGTTCTGGCGTGTGTTTGGGGTCAAAATATTTTCCTGTTGCAGGTTAATCAACTTTCAAGGTTGAGTTATGCGACACGGCAGCGTTGCCACATGGTTTATATGATTATGCTATGACTGCATGTATCTTTATTAATTTATGGCTAAGTCCGATAAGTTCAGTTATCGATATTTCCAGCACATAAAAAAAAACATTTAAATATGACCTTGGGTTTGGCTATCGCAGGGTTTTCAGCCGTGTTATCCCAATTCATGAACACCTTTAAATCGTAGATTCTCAGTGACGTCACAAGACGCGTATGTTTTTCATAAGTGTGTGTAAGTACATTTAATTCAAATGCCGATCATTGCTTCTGCAGCAAAGCATTACTTGCTAAAATTGAACACGAGTTGCCAATCACCAGAACAAACCTTCAGCGCAACTCAATGCAATGTGACCATAAAAGCTACACAACTACTTACAAACGAACGAACACACACACACACACACAAACAGCACAGCACAATGCAAACTGAAAGCCATATAAAAAGCTGACAAGAGGCCAAAATTAAATACAAATATAAAATAAAATACGGTGCGCATGAAATTCAACGTGACTGCATTGAGGGAGGCACACATCACACACACGCACATTTAGACGCTGAGCATAAATAAAAGAGAAAGTAAAAACTTAATAAGATGCTGCGCATCAGTTCAAAAAAAATGAAGCATTCATATAGATTATTAGATTATGTGCACTACATATATACAGATAATAAGGAATAGAATTGAACAAATGGCTTCATATACACACACAACACGCAGCCAAACACTTGGTAGGGCACCCTACACTGACTGCGCCGATCAGCGTTGCCAACCAAGTTGAGAACATTGTCGAACACATTCCTATTACCCAAATTAAAATACGGAAAACTAAGAAAACAATTTCTACCAGGTTAATAGACATTTAAACTCTGAGTGCATTAGAGCAGGCAATTTTCTTGGCGTTTTTAACCAAAAGCCATTGTAAAAATCAATATCGTTTGCTTTACCTCACACACAGCTTTAGCGTTGCTCACTCTATGGCAGTGGGATTCGGCGTTTTTTTTTGCAAATTCTCATGCATAGGTTGACAAAATGTTGTATCAAGTACTTGTTGAAATCAATAAGTGCACACGAAACGTTTCCAAAATTGTCTAAAAAGCAATCAAAAATGCAAATGGTCGACATTTTGTTTTCTGTCTGTGTGAGACAGGCCACTCGCTGCTGCTGATTCGACGAAATACACAAATGTGTGTGCGTGTATGTATATGCAATGTGTGTGTGTCTCGTTTGAGTGGCCAGCGGAGCACCAAGGAGCAAAATTGTGCTGAGTGATCGCAATATGCCATACATACTGCATTTACATAACCGTTTTAGAGGCTAGAGCTATGTATTAATATTACACTTACCTTTTGGCTATTTGTTTAGAATGATTTGCACAATTTTCACAGAGTTTTCTTTTATTAATTTCTACACGTAACAAAACTCCGACTCCGACACTGCTGTCAACAGCACAGGTCACACTGTTCTCGAAAACGGTGTTACCAAAAACCGCAAAGCAAAATATCATTAAACTGACTGCGAGTAATCGATACATCGACACATATCTAGCACAATGTGTTGCGATATATTGTTGCACTAGCTGGTAGCAGCAGTTGCAGTTATGCGTGACAATGTCTTCTCTGTTTACATATATCGTATCGTTTCGTGTGGTGGCAAACGATACATTATCATCAACCCTAGTTATTGTAATTTGTATTATTTACAAGAAAAAAACAGCCCGCGCACAGCTAAAACATTTGCGTAGTTTTATATCAAATCGAATTCAAGTTGTATATAAGCAATCACAATACTACGTGACATCGTTAAGCACACACATACACACACACGCACACCCTATTCTACGTGCAAGCAACGAAGCTCCTAATAAGAACGCGCCAACAGCAATAAAAAGACAAAAACAAGCGGCTTATCAGCAACAGCAGCAGCAACAACAACAGGTAAAGTAGCATTAATTACACTTATGGAGTCAATCATCAGCAAAGCTTAAATTTTGCCTCTCCAGTCAACGATTGTCGCGATCCGCACACAACGCCGTGTGCTGACTTATTTCTGTCGATTCTGTGACGTGTCCCAGTTACCACGATTGCAATGTGCGGCTCACCCAACATAGCTGCCGGCAACGGCGCCCGGGCACTTATCCTGGTGGGCGGCTATGGCACACGATTGCGTCCGCTGACGCTGAGCACTCCCAAGCCGCTGGTGGAGTTCGCCAACAAGCCCATATTGCTGCATCAGCTGGAAGCGCTCGTCGATGCAGGCTGTCGTCAAGTGAGAGTTTTCACGGCGGCCACAAAAGTTACATAAACAAGTTTCTCTCGAATGTAGGTCATATTGGCGGTCAGCTATCGGGCCGAGCAAATGGAGCAGGAACTGAAAGTGGAAGCGGACAAACTGGGCGTGGAGCTGATCTTTTCACATGAAAGCGAACCCCTGGGCACAGCCGGGCCGCTGGCGCTGGCCAAGCCCCTATTGACAGCCAGTGCGGAGCCATTCTTTGTCCTCAACTCGGATGTTATTTGTGACTTCCCGTTCAAGCAGCTAATGCAGTTCCATCGCAATCATGGCAAACAAGGCACCATTGTGGTAACCAAAGTAGAGGAGCCTTCCAAATATGGCGTTGTGCTATACGATGAGCTCGGCTGCATTACAAATTTCATTGAGAAACCGCAAGAGTTTGTGAGCAACAAAATCAATGCGGGCATTTACATATTCAATCCCACGGTGCTGGACCGTATCGAGGTGAAGCCCACATCTATTGAGAAGGAGGTGTTTCCGGACATGGCGCTGCAGCAGGAGCTTTATGCCATGGAGCTAAACGGGTTTTGGATGGATATTGGACAGCCCAAAGACTTTCTTACCGGTGCGTTCCCTCTGAACCTGAATCATAGTCGTCAGCTATCTTCCGTTTGGCTTTATCAGCGGAACAGTTCAGCAAAGTGTGTAATCAATTTTTGTTCCCAACACCAACTTTTATCTGATTTCTTGGAACAGGCGGCAGCTAGTGATAAACCAAATGCATGATAGAACGTTTCTAATGAGCTCTATTAGCTGATAAACGGATGCCCGTGGGGGTGTGATCTGGTCGACAAGTTGAGTCGATCCAGCCATGTTCGTGTGGCTGTCTGTGTGAACGTGCTCCGAAAACTAAAAAAGTTAGAGACTCAAAGTATGTAATCTACATTCTCGTATACCAGACGCAGAACGAGTTGTATAATTTTTTCGATATCTTCTTTAGAGATCGGGCTTTTTAAGCACAAATCGAAGATTAAAATTCGTTCGTATATTAAATACAGATTACAAATATTTCACGTTTAGGATAAGTCTTCCCAAAATCTCCCATAAATAGAAAAACTTAAGTTTAAAGGCAGGGTCTTGCCCACATTTATATGTCATATAAAGCCCTTCAAATTTCATAAAGATCGAACCAGTAACACAGAAGTTTATCAAGAATGAATTCGCTTTATATAGTATAGGGTATTTGTGTTAGCTTAGGTAGTTTAGAGCTGGGTGCAGAGTATCTTTTAGTCGGGCACTTCCGACTAAAACACACTTACTTGTTTTTTATAATTTCCTTTCTCCCGCAGGCATGTGCCTCTACCTCAGCTCTCTGCGACAGAAGCAATCGACCAAGCTGTACACAGGTCCCGGCGTCGTGGGCAATGTGCTGGTCGATCCCACGGCTAAGATTGGCGAGGGCTGTCGCATCGGACCAAATGTAACCATTGGGCCCGATGTGGTCATCGAGGATGGCGTCTGCATCAAGCGTTCGACCATACTGAAAGGTGCCATTGTACGCTCCCACTCCTGGCTGGACTCCTGCATTGTGGGCTGGCGCAGCACCGTTGGGCGCTGGGTGCGCATCGAGGGCATCACCGTGCTGGGCGAGGATGTTATCGTCAAGGACGAGCTGTACGTGAACGGCGGGCAGGTGCTGCCGCACAAGAGCATTGCGGCCAGCGTGCCCGAGCCGCAAATCATCATGTGAATCTGGAAGCAGTTTCTCCAATTAGTGGCCTATTGTAAATATTATAAGTTATATCATTTTCTTATGCGATATTTGCCTTGACTCTGTTTAAATGTTTCTAACGTTTAAGCCGAATGTTTGTCAATATTCTAAAAACAACAACAACAAAAACAAAAACATTTCCATTAATTAGCCTGGCTAAAATATAGTCTTAAGGACTTTGAAGCTGAATTAAGGAAGAAAAAACGAAAAGCAAGTCAGTTGAGTTAGCAGCATTTTGACCAAAACACTTTTTCACCAAACAAAGCATAAGTTTTTTATATTATCTAAATTGTAGTCAAATAAATATTTGTATTATTAATATAAAACAAAACAAACTCTGCTCTTATTATTATTATTATTATTTGTACTAAGTAACGATAACTTTGATCCCGTAGAGAATATGTAGATATATATTCTGCGTGAAATTGACCGCTTCGGATCATCTACATATATAAGAGACTATAAAAGTGGGCCGACAAGCGTGAGGTTGCTGGTTCAAATCCAGCAGGAATCAATTTATATATTAGTTTACTTCATTTTCTTTTTATTCACAAAGGAAAAATCAATAATTGTCAATTAAAAAGCAAACAAAATAATGTTAAATGAATAACGTTTGCAATAATAAATAAATAAAAAATTATCATTTGTTTAGCTACAAATATTCTTTAGGCCTTAATTTTAGGGTTGATTTTTATATATTGATCAACAATCTGTCTGCAGGGGTACTAGAAGACAACTGTGTTAAGTTCAAAGGTTGCGTAGCAACACCTGCCAGGTGCGCAAAGCACAACAAACACCTGAGATTCGCTGTGGCAAAATGTTGAAAACTCTGAGCAAAGCGGACACACTCCCGCAGAGTCTGCTCTGGGAGGATAAGGAAGTGAAATTTGATACCCCACAACTGTGAGTTGGGCGCAATTTAAGCGGCAATCAGTCCTTATTCACAATTACTTTACAGACACACGCGTCTTCGCAGCGGCGAGAAAATATTGGATACGATTTACCATATAGAGGACAGCAAGGGCAATCCTGGCGATACGGGCCGATTGCTGGTGACCAACCTGCGCATCATTTGGCACTCGCTGGTCCACAAGAAGTTCAATTTGTGTAGGTTTCTTAAGAAATCCCAGCTGTGACTGATTGACCAACTGAATGACTGACTGACTGATTGATGGATGATGTGAGCACAGCCCAAACCGCAAGAGCTGGGGCTGGATACGTGTCTGAGGTTTTTTCAAAAGGGATGCATGCTGGATTTGAACCAGCGACCTAACGTTACTGGCTCTATCTATTAAAAGCTGTGAGTGATTGACCGACTGACCGACTGATTGATTGATGATGTAAGCACAGACCAAATCGAAAGAGCTGGGGCTGGATACGTGTCTCACGCTCCAAAATGGATGCCTACTGGATTTGAACCCGCGACCTAACGTTTCCAGCTCTATGTATTCAAAGCTGTGACTGATTGAACGACTGACTGACTGACTGATTGATGATGTAAGCAAAATAGATGCTTGCTGGATTTGAACCAGCAACTACACGTTTGTCTGTCCGTCGCTTAAACACAAATTTCCCGCAAGATCTTGAAGCCACTCTCGGCCCAAATGGAAGCTTCAGTATACATTTAAGCTTCCTAGCTCTTACGGTTTGGACTGTGCGGTGATTACCAAGCTGAAGGGGAGACTCTCTTAAATATATAACCTATTGATTGATCAATCCATAGCCATAGGCTATGCTCGCATAGGCACCACCAACACGCGCCTGGTGCACATGCACACAAAGGGCCGCATACCCAGCCAGGCGCTGTACATTCTGGCCATAAGAAATGAGACGCGATTTGAGTTTCTGTTTACGGACGTCTCTGGCGATACGGCGCGCAGGGATCAGCCGATCTTTGCCAGCGTTTTCGATGTGCATCAGTGCGTCAATCGACGGATTTAGCAAACGTTTCCACTCAACTGTTTTGTTCCACAGCTTGTATCAGCGCACGTTTCTCTACAGGGATCTCAAGTTGCGCGGCGCCATTGTGCAGGCGGGTCAGCTGATTATAATGCCGGATGAGCAGGTGTACAGCCAGGTGCAGGGCGTCTGGAATTTGTCCAGCGATCAGGGCAACCTGGGCAGCTTTGTGGTGACCAACATCCGCCTGGTCTGGTTTGCGGATGCTAATGAGACCTTCAATCTGAGCCTGCCCTATCTGCAGATCGAAGCCGTGAGTCCCGTGCTCAGCACTTAACCAAGCGACTTCTTTCATTTTGGAGCACTTCCAGCTGCGCATACGTGAGTCCAAGTATGGCCCGGCGCTGGTCATCCAGACGGCTGAGACGGCCGGCGGCTATGTGTTGGGCTTTCGCATTGATCCCGTGGAGCGTCTGAATGGGCTCTTAAAGGAGCTGGGCTCCCTGCACACCATCTACACGGAGCAACCGAACTTTGGCGTACAGTACGATCCGCTGGACGCGCGCAAGCGTCAGGCCGCCGCCGCCGAGGAAGCTGCCCAGGCAACACAATTCAAAATTGAGGAATATCAGGAGCTGGACGAGCGTCAGGAGCGCGAAATAAATACCAAGCTGAACAGCTATCTCGCCGCGGGCTGCCTCGCCGACACGGAGCAAGCGACGCCGGAGCCCATCTATTGCAGGGAGCTGGGCTTTGCCATGGAACGCATACCCGCGGGCTACAAGCTGCAGGATTTGTGGAATGTGATGCCCACAAAAATGGCAACGCTCGACGAGTGAGATTCGGAATAAAGTACACTTCAAAAATAATCCTGCCAATTATTCAACCAGTTTTGAATGTGGAATACCCAAATTCTTTCCCAAGTTTCACACTATGTTTAGGACATTTATTCTTGATTAACTCAGGGGCTTAAAGTCCGATCTTGTGTTTTTTACAATTTCAGGGCAAAGGGGCGAGGATACACAAAGTGAAACATTTATAAATCTGTATTTAGTCTATGGGAGAGCACATAACAAGTTTTAATGCCTATAGCTCTTATAATCTTCGAGTTATGCCTACAAAACCATGTCTTATAATCGATATTTATCGATAATTTCAAAATTCGAAAGTATATCGAAAAAGTATAAACTCTTTCTGATGTACTTGAATATTCATATATAATGAATTTCAAGTCAATAGCTTTTCAGGTTTCAGAGTTTCGCCTTCACAGAGGCGAGCAGACATACAAGGATCAACTCAGCTCGTAATCCTGATCAGGAATATATATATATATATATATTTTATGGGCTCGGGGCTGCTTCCCTCTGCCTGTAACACTCTTATAATCTGTGCGTTATTCTCGATATTTATCGATAATTTCAAAATGGGCAGATATGTCGAAAGAAGATCAAATCTTTCTGATTGATCAATTTTGTAGTTTCGGAGCACGAGAGTGAGACGCGAGCAGACGTACAGACGTACAGCTCAACTTAGCTCGTCATCCTGATCAGGAATATATGTATATATGTATATACTTTATGGGCTCGGAGCTGCTTCTCTCTGCCTGTTACACTCATTTAAACAAAGCCCTTTGAGTTCAGGGCACAAGAATACATAATAGAATAAGAGTTTAAACTAAACTTCTGGGTTTTCGATTTTCCAAATAGAAAAATCGACCTACTATATATACATTTATAATTATAGATGGTTTTATTGACGCATACAACTCGCTGTGTGTTTTAAGTAATTTAGCTCTTGTATGTGCGTTGTTCTCTTTCGTATTATCCATAGACCGATATTTGGTTGTTTTGGGAATCAATCGAAAGTGTGTCATTAGCTTAAGGTTAATACATGGTTTGTCAGTTTAGCTGTTTGCCCGATTCGTTGGTATCTCAGTGCTTAGAAATTATTTAATTGTATTTTAATTTTAGTACTTATTTTCTTTTTCGTTTTATTTTGTATCTTGGTTGGGAGAGAGTTGTCTTAGTACGTTCTGTTTTATTTTTTTGTTCTCTTTTCTTTTTTTTTATAAATTAATTCATATCACAACACACAGTTGATTTTACCGGCATGCACTATAATCAATATTTGTATATATACTATATAGTTTATATATATATATATATTTATATATTTTTTTTATTATTTATACGTGAATGAATTGTTTACTTTGTTTTCTAAGCTATAAATTCAAACAAACTTAGTTAAATGTACGAAAATTAATATTAGTTGTGGCGTTTTTCACTGCATGTCGGTGTTTTTTTTGGCCTCAAAGGCAGTCTGAAAAGAAACGTGTTAAGAGCCTAACAAAAATAAAATAAACGTTATATGTAGCTATGTATTTAAAACAAAATATCAGGAATGGCTTAAATTAAGATTTCTATTCTTTTTTGTTTTTACAATATTCTTAATTTTTTTTGTTTTTTTAGTTTTAACTACCTTTTAATACTTGTTGCTTACTTTTTAAGTTTTGTTTTTCTTGTTTTTGTTTTTTAAATTCTTAAAGGTTTTATTTTTGTTTATCTTCTTTTTTTTTTGCATATCAGTTGCCCTTAAATGAGTGGTTTTTCTTTGTAATATTCGTTTAGTTTTTCATCAGTCTTGAAGACCAGTTTATATTATTATTATTATTAAATATATATTATTATTTTAAGACGTATTTAGTTGAAGCAAGTGAAGTTGCAAAGCCAACTGCTGACCAAAGTAAACAAATTTACAAGATTTATAAACATAAAATATGATAAATTTAAAGCTAAATTAACAATTAGATATCAGACGCGACAAAGAACACAAATAGGATAAACGACTAAAGACTAAACAAATTGGGTTTGGCCGTCTGCTATAAACAAATGCAAAGCGCAGCTCTAGTTTCTGCTGCTTAGGGGTAAGGTAGGAATATCTCTTATGATAAACATTTACTTAGGGTCTTGTGTCTTGCTTGTTGTTGTTATTGTTGTTGCAGTTTGGTGCTTCACTTGCTTCGGTTCGGTTGACGCAAACGGTAAACAATGGAAACGCGTCGCTTAGAATTAAACAGTAACTAGAACCAAAGACTTAGGATTTGTGGTTGTGTTTGTTTGTTTTCTATGTTCTACAGCAGTTTTGAGCATTGGATTACAAAACAAGCCTTGATGGCGTTCCAATGGCCGTGGACATACGTGGACATAGACAGAGAGATAGGTATAGGGGAGGGGTTGCTGCTTATTTGCTGCTGTTGGAGATCTGTAGACGCGCTCGCTGACGTGTCATGGGCGGCGAGTGGCGCATTGGCGATATGGAATTGCCCTTGGCGGCAGTGCGTCGCTTCCGTTTGGGCGCTGCAGCAGTCACTGCGGCAGATGTGGCGGCTACCTTGACTGCTGGAGTTGTTCCAGCTGCTGCAGCTGCTGGTGCTGTTTTGCGACGTCTTTTGGCCGTTAGCAGCGGTGCGCGGCGTCGACGCTTTGCGGCCGCTGCTTTCGGCTTGGCTGTAACTGCGACTTCGCTTGAGCCGGTGCCTGTGCCTGAGGTTAATGTGTTGCTACTGTCCTTGGTGTGGCCCTGGGTTTGAGTGGGCTCGTGTGGCACAAAAGCGGACGCGGTGGCATGTTGTGGCAATGTCAGTGTGCTGCAAGAGTGAAAAACCAGCGCTGTGCTTAGAGCTGGAGTGCTTTAATCAAAAACTCTGACAGCTTACCTGAGCTTTGGTTTAAATGCCTGCTCCTGCTCCTTCTGTGCTGGCTCCTCTTCGTACTCCTCCTCGTCTTCATCATCGTCATCATCGGCATCGCTGTACACATTTGCAGCGGGCGGCATAAATTTGGGTCGCTTCAGTTCAAAGCCGCGTGCTTTGTTGCTAAAAGGGCAGACATTGTTAAGCCTGCAGTGAAATTGAGATATTACTTACATTTTGATGGGTGTTATGGGCATGGGCCGTATGGGCTTGAATAGACACAGATCCATGAGTAAGCTGTCTGTGCTGGCATTACGTTTGCGCGCCGTTGCCGAGCGATGCAGCATGGAGGGCGCCACCGTAAACTGCCGCAAATAGGCAGCCGTGGGCGCTACGTATGGCTGACTGAGCACAAGCTGGCGATTGCTGCTGCTACTGCTGCTGGCGCTGGAGCTGGAGGTGGTGCCGGAGCCAGAGCCAGAGCCGGAGCCGGAGCTGGAGACGGTGACGGAGCCCATGATGCCGCCGGCGCCAATCAGCTTGCGTTTTAGGCTATGGCTATGACTGTGGCTGGTGCCTCCCTCTGTTGCCGGTGGTGCTAAAACTGGCGTCGAGGCATTCATGACCAGCGCCTTTTGCACAGTGTCCTTGATGAATTCGGTGCCGCGATGCAGGCGCACTGAGAGCGTTTTCATCAGCGCACAGGCCGCATTGCTGGCTATGCTGCTGGCGGTTGTGGGACGTGCCGCCAGCGTGCCCGCTGCTCCAATTGTTTGGGTGGGTGTGCTCGTGCCTGCGCTGACATTGTTGTTGCTGCTGCTGCTATTATTGTTGTTGTTGTTGTTATTATTATTGTTAATCTTGCGCGACGCGCTCGAGTCGTAGGTATAGGGCGCTGGTTGCCCGGCTGCCGCCAGCAACATTATTATTGCTGGTAAATGCAGCTGCCCACTGCTCCTGCTGCTGCTCCGCCTGCTCCCACTCCTACCCCCTCTAGTTTTTTTTGCTCCGTCAGCTGCTGCTTTGCTGGCGACTGTGACATGCCCGGCTTTTGATTTTCCTTTGTCTCACGCACAATTATTTCATCAAATTATTTCAACATTTTTTGTGGTTTTTTGTTTCTGTTTCTGTTTTTTGTTTTTTTTTTTTGTTTTTTACCTATTTGCACTTGTGTCTGTATATTTTTTGTGTTCGTCGCGCTTCTTCTTCTTTTCAGTTTTGCCAGTTTCGGCTCGCACGCTGTTTCGTACAACTACACACTACTACAAATTTATTCAACATACTCCTACTACTACTTTGCTTTCCATTGTGGCTGCTTTTTTTGCTTGGCATTTACCGGTCCCAATTTTATCACTATTTTGTGCACAATCGCTATATGCTCTTCCCGTTGTTGTCAATTCTGTTTTCACATCACTGTTTGCACTTTGTTTAATGTTAATTGCATTTGTTTTGTTGCGGTTTTTTGCCAGAAACGAAGAAATTTTTACGTTTTGCTATGTTTTACACCTCACTACTGCATGTTCATTCATCAGCAGCTGTAGTCCCTGGCTGTATTCACCACACTGAGCTGATGGCTTGGGAGCTCAACAGTTGCGCCGCAGAGGACTTTAAGCGCTGCGCAATAATTATACGGTACGTCATAAATGCAGCAGACCGATTGGTGTTTCTTAAACATTTATGAAATCAACCCTTATTTTGTTATTTCGTTAATGCGTGTATTTAATATTTGACAAACATCTGCAGGCTGACCAGAAAATATTTAATTTGAGTATACAGTGTGTACACACTGACAGCTAAATTCCAATATTCCCTGAACCTGGGTCGCAAACTTTTCTTTCTAACATCAATTTAACATTTTTTATAATGCTTGACAAATTTAACCATTCAAAGTGCATTGTAACTGATATTTATTTGTTTTGTGCTTAAATTGCTAGTTTGCCTGTTCATTACGCGGTTTTTATTTTGAGCACAATGAGTGTGACCAAATTAAGAGAACACAAATTGGACATGCTTTATTTTGTTTCAACTAGGTGGCAGCACTGATACATTGCTACGCAGCGGCACATTAAATTTAAAATTGTAATTTTCGGGAAAATCATTTGATATAATTTTTACAAATAAACCAAATACTTTGATAGAGACTAACATGTTGTGCCCATTTAAGCTGCAATTACCTAATTCTTTAGCTTCTTTGACTTGCCGCCTTCTGCTGTGCTGTTCGATAAACATTAAACTTCATTTGAAATAAAATAATTGCAGCTACTGTGCGCTGGCGCAAAAGCCAATCTTAAATCATAGATCGCGCATCGGTATCAAGTTTATTATGGCTAAATAATTGCCAAAGCGCATGCGGTGCACAATTTACGAGTACGCGGAGTCACGCTTCGGACTGGTTCCTCTGGATACCACCTAGGGATGCGCCGCAGCAGCCGCTGCCGTTGCTGCTGCCGCTGCCGCTGCTGCTGCTGCTGCTGCTGCTGTGACAGAAGTGTTTTTTGGCATGTCAAATGGCCGTTGAGCTGCACCCGTTTCGCCGCCCTCTTATCCATTGACTGGCCTTTAATAACATTATGAAAACGCGTGTTTTACAGCTCATCAGAGTCGAAACGTTGCCGCATTGCTTGCATTTTTTCGTGCACTCTTTTTGGCCCGTCCGTCTGTCCCCGTCAGTCCGTCTGTCCGTCTGTTCGCCTGGCTCTGCCTGCCAGTTAAGAGTCAAGTCCTCGCACCGCTGGAGGTCGCTTGGGGGTCGTCGTCATCGTCGACAGCGGCGCCCTCCCATTGCGGCACCATGCAGCCACGCGCGTCGCCTTCTGCGCAACCGCAGCCACCGCAGCCACAAAAGCCAGAAGCAGCTACACATAAACACACTCACACACACACACCCATAGACATACACATGTAGAGATCTGTGTATATATAAAGCTGGACAGGCGTTGGCTGTGCCCGCGCAGGCTATAATTTTCCAATATGCAAATGTGTTGTGTGCGTTGCCTCAAAATGGCGCAGCGGATGCCGAACGCACGTGGGACGCAGCCACAAGGCAAACGGAAAGACGCGAAACGGTTGCAAACGACTACGAAATACCCTGTTTACGGCGTAGAAACAAAAAGGGTACAAACCGATTCTAAGTAGCTAAAAAAACTTAAAAAAGGCCAACCAACCAAAACCAGAGTACACACGGCAAACAAATTAAAATTTACCAATACTATATATTACATTTTGTATTGTGGAAGAGAGGCAAAGCAAGAATCGAACGGCATTTAAAGGCGAAATACGGGCAATTTTCTTGGACTGATAACGATTAAATGGCTCTAAAACTGTTTATCGAGGGCAGTCACTTTGAGGTGTGGCCGCAATATATAGATACCATACAAAAACAATCGAATTGCCAAATTCATTGACTGCAGCTGGAAGTCTATAGACTCATATAGATTAAGGCAGCTCGCTTGCCAGCTAAAGGGCATGGCCAAGGCCTTATAAACCATACATTATACAAGTTTTCAATCTACAGCTATAATATACCGCACAGGGATTGCGCAAATAAAAACGAATATACCCCTTTGGACTCTGTGAGCAGAGTATATAATAAGCAGCGGCCAACTGGCGTCGTGCGCTCATTAAGGACATCGAGATGTTGAGGTCCTTCGAGCCGAGTGGCCAACCATTGACAATTATGCAATTTTGCGGAACGACTAAACAAATTATTTTCACTAAATTAAATCTTAACTCGTGCTGGGCGCACTTTTTTTTTTTTTTGATTTGATTTTTTTGGGGGAACACGTACGCCTCCTAACCTCAATTATGGGCTATGAAAATCTTCAGGCGTGATGAGTGCCTGTGGATTGACATGTGACCCGCTGCTGCTGCTGCTGGCTTCAAGATCTTGGGCGCAGCTGCGGCGGCTCCTGTTGAGTTCGCCAAGAAGCGCGTGCTTTAACAAAGCGCCTAACAAAAAAACTTGACGAAAACGCATTTGACATTAAAGCAGACAAAAGCTGCGTGCTGTGAGGCTCAAGTAAGCGTAAGAACAGAGCCGAAGAGCACGGCGAATGCTGAACCCGCCTCATTAAAGGCGAATTAAAAGCCTCGAACCACATGCGAATCTAATGAAAGTTAGTATGTGACATCAGCTAAGCTATAGAACAAAGTTGGCCCCACAATTATGGCTGCTAAGCATATGGGAAATTAAAATTAGTTGTACTCTTAATGACTTCCCATTTGCAGCTAATGAAGCTGCGCGAGCCACGAACTTTAACGATGTTTGGTTGTTTATAATCAAGAAATCGAATGCACAAGATAAATGATTATTGAATACACTCAAACGAAAATTTGTGCGCAACAAATTTAGCGCATTGTTTTCGTAAAACGAATTGTTCAATGCACAAATCGATTTACAAGACGAAACAGCTCCCTCTCTCTCTCTCTCTCTCTCTCTTTCTCTCTAGTTCTCTGGCGATTTCAATTACATTTGCCTGGGCCTCCACTTGTTCACAGGTGTGAATTGTGTTCTGAAGTGGGTTTTTTTTGGGCTCTTTTTTTTGGTAATGAAATAACCATAAATCATGGCACAAATGAAGTTCAGCATTTTAGTTTTTTGTGTTTTTTTTCTTCTATTTTTTTTGTGGGGGGCTATATACAACCCTCGCTGCCATATTTTATTTCTCATCTATTTTTCGTTTCTTTATTGTAAAGTGTAACATTGATTAAGCATTATTAGCGTTTATTGTTGTTGTTGTTGTTGTTGTTGTTCTATTCTCTCTATTCTGCTCGACGTTCCATTGTAGACACATTGGCCGCATTGGCGTTGTTTTTCTGTTGTGCACAGTGGGACACTTTCCATCATCAACACTTTGGAATGATGGAACGTTTCGTTGGCCAGGTCTGGCAGAGCGTTTCACTCCACACCCCCCCTCAAGCACCCAGAAGATGCGCCTGCGCCATTTGGGGGGGGGCCCGAACGCATTGATCTATGTCTATTTGTAAATCAAAATTGATTTGCTTTATAGCATGGGATAATGAAGTTTTTTAATGAACTGATGGACGCGAAAACAAAGAGAAACCAAGTGTAGTTGGGTTTTGTAGTAAGAGGATTATGGGAATTATTTTCCTATCAAGCCCTGAGGCTGTTGCGGCTTTCGAACTCTTCATAAATTTATGTAACCTAAGTTTAGCCGTGCAAAAGTATTTTTTATTAAATTTCATACGATCTTGCACCAGCAGTTTTCCACCCATTTTCTAGGCGGGTTTCCAATCAGTTTCCTTAAGGATCTTCGAAACTGAACTTGAAGTCAAATCGGATAAAAAGCATTAAAGTCTTTTGGAACCACTTTTCGCCCATTTTTCACACGATCCAAATATTATTGATTCACATTACAAGAGATAACTATCGTGAAATAAATTAGCTGCCTAGCTCTTACGGTACGCGCTGAACGTTGCTCGTCAATCAGTCAGTCAGTCAATCAGTCAGGAAAATGTAAATATAATGTTCTAATAGCGTATAAAGTGTACATCTCAAGATATAACTAACATGAACAATTCCGCTCTTAAGGTTTGATCTCTGCGTACGTTATCGATCAGTCAATCAGTCAGTCAGTCAGTCAGTCAATCAGTCAGGAAAAATGATTTAACATATGTAGATATAATGTGTTAATAGTGTACCTTTTACGATAGTTCTGAAGAAAGACCAACTATGAAAAATACAGGTCTAACGGCTTGATCTGTGCGTATATTATCAATCAGTCAGTCAGTCAGTCAGTCAATCAGTCAGGAAAAATAGTTTTATATATGTGCATATAACGGTCTAGTGCTTAAAATATAAATATGAGAGTGTTTCGACAGTGTTATATCAATTGTTGAGACCTATTTTTCCATTTCGGTTATATGAAATGGTTCAAAAATTTGATTTCTTGCCTTCAGGCGAGTTTGGTCTAATAAATCATAGCCAAAATGCTGAGGAACAGTGCTGCCAAAAAGATGACAAAACAAATAATGCAAATATGAAAGAAACGGCCAAAAAGAGACGTCGACAGCAGGGGCTGGGCAGCAGCACGAAGCGGCCATTAGTCAAAGCGAAGGGCAGAGTTGGCCAATAAAATTGCCGGAGAGATGGCCATAAAATCAGCGGAGATGGCCAAAAGGGCCACCGTTGGACACAGTTGGCCACAGTTGGACACAGTTGGCCAAAAAGCGCCGCAACAACTCCAATAAAAGTTATGTGGAAAATTGATTTTGCGGTAGCCGGGGCAATAAATGTTTTGCCCAAATGCTAAATACGAGTTAAGCACGACAAGGGCGGCGGCCGAGGAGAGTGCAGCATGATGGGGCAGTCGGCAGGAGGACACGCAAATCAACTGGGCAACTGAGCAACTGGGCAACTGGATTTGCGGTCTTGCGCAGTGCATGGAAAACCTTTTGACAAAGTGAGAAATATGCATGGCAACAACAACAGCAACAGCAACAACAGCAACAACAACAACAAGGAGCAACAACAATAATCGGCCAGGACACAGGACATATGGCCCAGAACGAGAGCCAGGAGTGTGGCCGAGACTGCATTGGAGGAAATATGATGACATATCGCGTCATAGTTCAAACGGCAGGGAATCCTCTGATCAATTTTGTACACAGCAAGGCGCCATCTTTTTGTGAGCATTGCATGAGGTTGGACTTTTTGATACCCTCTAGTTAAGAATGCCTGGCAAAGGTATTGTTGTGTTCAGCAATTAGCAT